TATTTTTTAATGTAAGAAAAAATTATTTTTATGGCCTACGGCGAGAATTTTCTGTAGCATCAAGTTTGCAGCTACCTTACTATTCGACCTTACATCAATCTTACAGCAAACTTACGATGCAAACTTTCCGAGCAATCTTGCGGCAATGTTACCGTGCAACATTGCTGCAAGCTTGTGGTGCAACCTTGCCATAACCTTGTGGCAAGCTTACTGTGCAATATTGAGCAAGGTGGGACATTTTAATGTTGTGGCAACATTGCTGTAATGTTATAAGGCAATATTGCGAAACTTGCCCAGCAATATTGCCGCAATTTTATGTGCTGTCTGGGAAGCAGATTGTATGATGCGAATGCTCCACGAAATTAGCAGAGCATTCGTGGAATACGAGGTTAAGATTGAAATTTTGACTCAAATATATATATAAAACCCCAAGTAGTACGGAAACTTGCAGCAAGTGTGCAGTGCAAGGTATGAAAGTTTGCAAGGTAAGTTTGCAGGAAACTTGTGACAAATATTGAAATGTTCTCCCACTGCATGTTTGCAACAAAAACTTTCTGCAAACATGCTAAGCAAAATTGTCGAAAAGTTTCAAGAACAATTTGTAGCAAAATTGCGCGTCTTTCTAAAGACTTTTATGGTATACTGGAGTTGTTATCTAGAAAATTTAATTTTTTAAAATTTTTTCGAAAATTTAGTTGGGTGTAGCTCAGCCTCCGCTGGACCAATCAAAAAGTGCGCTATATATTTTTTGTTCAGAACATTTTGACTATTTTTTTGGTGGTATTACCGAGCGATTATAACGCAAATTTAATTTTTCGAAAATTTTCCGAATTTATTTTTTAGTATAGCTCAGCATCCGCTGGACCAATCTAAAAGTGCGCCATACATTTTCTGTTCGAAACTTTTTCCCTATTTTATTAGCGGTATTCCGGAACGATTATCACGCAAATTTAATTTTTCTCACTTTTTTCCAAATTTGTTTTCTAGTGTAGCTCAGCATCCGCTGGACCAATCAAAAAGTGCGCCATACATTTTTTGTTCGCTACTTTTTGCTAAAGACTTTGGCGGTATTCCCGAACGATTATCTGCAAAATTTAATTTTTCGAAAATTTTTCATAAATTTATTGGAGAGTAGCTCAGCATCCGCTGGACCAATCAAAAAGTGTGCCATACATTTTCTGTTCGAAACTTTTTCCCTACTTTATTGGCGGTATTCCGGAACGATTATCTCGAAAATTTAATTTTTCTCAATTTTTTCCAAATTTGTTTTCTAGAGTAGCTCAGCATCCGCTGGACCAATCTAAAAGTGCGCCATACATTTTCTGTTCGAAACTTTTTCCCTATTTTATTGGCGGTATTCCGGAACGATTATCACGCAAATTTAATTTTTCTCACTTTTTTCCAAATTTGTTTTCTAGTGTAGCTCAGCATCCGCTGGACCAATCAAAAAGTGCGCCATACATTTTTTGTTCGCTACTTTTTGCTAAAGACTTTGGCGGTATTCCCGAACGATTATCTGCAAAATTTAATTTTTCGAAAATTTTTCATAAATTTATTGGAGAGTAGCTCAGCATCCGCTGGACCAATCAAAAAGTGTGCCATACATTTTCTGTTCGAAACTTTTTCCCTACTTTATTGGCGGTATTCCGGAACGATTATCTCGAAAATTTAATTTTTCTCAATTTTTTCCAAATTTGTTTTCTAGAGTAGCTCAGCATCCGCTGGACCAATCTAAAAGTGCGCCATACATTTTTTGTTCGAAACTTTTTCCCTATTTTATTGGCGGTATTCCGGAACGATTATCTCGCAAATTTAATGTTTCTAAATTTTTTCCAAATTTATTTTTTAGTATAGCTCAGCATCCGCTGGACCAATCAAAAAGTGCGCCATACATTTTTTGTTCGCCACATTTTTGCTAAAGACTTTGGCGGTATTCCCGAACGATTATCTGGAAAATATAATTTTTCAACAATTTTTCCAAAATGTTTTTTAGAGTAGCTCAGCATCCGCTGAACCAATCAAAAAGTGCGCCATACATTTTTTGTTCAGAACATTTTGACTACTTTATTGGTGGTATTCCGGAACGATTATCTCGCAAATTTAATTTTTCTCAATTTTTTCCAAATTTGTTTTCTAGTGTAGCTCAGCATCCGCTGGACCAATCAAAAAGTGCGCCATACATTTTTTGTTCGAATCTTTTTCCCTATTTTATTGGCGGTATTCCCGAGCGATTATAACGCAAATTTAATTTTTCGAAAATTTTCCGAATTTTTTTTTTAGTATAGCTCAGCATCCGCTGGACCAATCTAAAAGTGCGCCATACATTTTCTGTTCGAAACTTTTTCCCTATTTTATTGGCGGTATTCCGGAACGATTATCTCGCAAATTTAATTTTTCTCAATTTTTTCCAAATTTGTTTTCTAGTGTAGCTCAGCATCCGCTGGACCAATCTAAAAGTGCGCTATACATTTTTTGTTCGAAACTTTTTCCCTATTTTATTGGCGGTATTTCGGAACGATTATCTCGCAAATTTAATTTTTCTCAATTTTTTCCAAATTTGTTTTCTAGTGTAGCTCAGCATCTGCTGGACCAATCAAAAAGTGCGCCATACATTTTTTGTTCGCTACTTTTTGCTAAAGACTTTGGCGGTATTCCCGAACGATTATCTGCAAAATTTAATTTTTCTCAATTTTTTCAAAATTTGTTTTCTAGTGTAGCTCAGCATCTGCTGGACCAATCAAAAAGTGCGCCATATATTTTTTGTTTAGAACATTTTGACTATTTTTTTGGTGGTATTACCGAGCGATTATAACGCAAATTTAATTTTTCGAAAATTTTCCGAATTTTTTTTTTAGTATAGCTCAGCATCCGCTGGACCAATCTAAAAGTGCGCCATACATTTTCTGTTCGAAACTTTTTCCCTATTTTATTGGCGGTATTCCGGAACGATTATCTCGCAAATTTAATTTTTCTCAATTTTTTCCAAATTTGTTTTCTAGTGTAGCTCAGCATCCGCTGGACCAATCTAAAAGTGCGCTATACATTTTTTGTTCGAAACTTTTTCCCTATTTTATTGGCGGTATTTCGGAACGATTATCTCGCAAATTTAATTTTTCTCAATTTTTTCCAAATTTGTTTTCTAGTGTAGCTCAGCATCTGCTGGACCAATCAAAAAGTGCGCCATACATTTTTTGTTCGCTACTTTTTGCTAAAGACTTTGGCGGTATTCCCGAACGATTATCTGCAAAATTTAATTTTTCTCAATTTTTTCAAAATTTGTTTTCTAGTGTAGCTCAGCATCTGCTGGACCAATCAAAAAGTGCGCCATATATTTTTTGTTTAGAACATTTTGACTATTTTTTTGGTGGTATTACCGAGCGATTATAACGCAAATTTAATTTTTCGAAAATTTTCCAAATTTGTTTTCTAGTGTAGCTCAGCATCCGCTGGACCAATCTAAAAGTGCGCTATACATTTTTTGTTCGAAACCTTTTCCCTATTTTATTGGCGGTATTCCGGAACGATTATCTCGCAAATTTAATGTTTCTAAATTTTTTCCAAATTTATTTTTTAGTATAGCTCAGCATCCGCTGGACCAATCAAAAAGTGCGCCATACATTTTTTTTTCGCCACATTTTTGCTAAAGACTTTGGCGGTATTCCCGAACGATTATAACGCAAATTTAATTTTTCGAAAATTTTTCCAAAATGAATTTGAGTATAGCTCAGCATCCGCTGGACCAATCTAAAAGTGCGCCTTACATATTTTGTTCGAAACTTTTTCCCTATTTTATTGGTGGTATTCCGAATCGATTGTCTCGCAAATTTATTTTTTCGAAAATTTTTCTAAAAAAAAACATTGCGATAAAAGGTCGAATAGAAAAAAATCCAGCTCGAAAAACTATCGAAATAAGAAAAAAGCATTGAGAATATAAATAGAAGGGAAAAACATATTACAAGATTAGAAATGTACAGGTGGAGCTGCAGTTGATTTCGTCAAAAATGAGCGCTATAATATTTAAATTATATATTAATTTTAATTGTCATAAAACACAAACATTGAAAATGTTTAAATTGTTTTTTACAAAAAAAATTAATAAGTACAACACTATTTTACACAAAGCGGAAATTAATTTCGGATCTCCTTAAAGTTTTTTATCATGATTAGAACAGCTGTTACGTTGTAGAAATGAACATAACCTATTGAGTTAAAGCCACTTGATTGGTCAAAATAATTAGCGCTCGATAATTTTAAAATATGTCATTCAACTTAATAACACTTTAATATTATAATATATTATTTTCCTTTGTTATTAATAAATTATTTATAAAAAAGAAAAATAAATATAATTACAACTGTAGGTAGTGAAAAATATTGTTTCTAAAGAAATTTTTTGATGGTTTTTTTAAATTCATGATTTACAGAATGTAATTTTTAAATTACCATTTCAGTGACTATTTTAAAAGACTGAAAAATTTCTTTTCACTAACTTCACATTATAATTAACAATTTATCAGAAATTTAAATTATGTATCTAAAAAATTTATAAAATAAAGACCTTAAATAAAATCCATTGATAAAGTATTTTATCAACAAACTATAATCAATTATAAGCAAATTAGGACGTTGTACCATAAAGATGAATATAATTTAAAAATAAAAAAAGCAGAAAATGATTAGTGCAAGAGAGATTATAGCGTAAATCACTCTCTCTTATTTTATATTCATAAATTTTTTCTTTACATTTTGAATTGATATGGGATAAAATAATTTGAAAGGTTTAATTATTTAAATAAATTTTGGTATTTTGGAACATTAAAATATTTACGAACATCTTTTTAAATCAAAAATACCAAAATTTATCAAAATAATTATTATTTATTGGAACAAAACATGGATGAATATTAAAAAGGCTTATTAGAAATTTTTAATTTTAACAAAATTTTTAATTTTCATTTTGTACTACAATTTAGATTTTAGTCAAACATGCCTGAAGTTCCGAACGTTCAAATGAACGAAATAATTTTTTTGATCTATAAATTTTTTTTAAATTACTACAGCAATGCAAAATAAAAGAATATATTAAACATTTAGTAACTTATTAATTTATTTTAGAATACAGAAACCAATAATTTGTAATCAAATTTAAAGTTAAAAAAGTAGTAAACAAATTTTTCGTTCATTTTTGAACGTTTAAAATATCAAAAACAAATCTAAAATTTTCTAATCTAAATTTATTATTAATGTTCTTAAAAAAAGCAGATGAAAAATGTTATTCTTAAAATAGAAAGAAATGAAGAGAATAAACAATACTATATGTTTTTATCCTGTGTGTTAGAGTTTTCTTTTTTATTTATGTCACTGGATCTCATTGAAAGCACCCAAACGCTCCAATTGCTCCGATAATGCTACGATTTTCTCATCCGAACAGTCTTCATCCAACGATAAGGTAAAATAGGCGTGCAGAAGATTAGAGACAAAAGCACTTCGAACTTCTGTCAATGAAAGAGAATTTCTTTCGTTTTCGAGATCTCCACTTTTCAATGCTTTCAGATAACGAGTTAAAATACCGTCAATGTCTCCCATTTCGTTAGACAAATTTTCAAGAATAAGAAAAGCTAAATCCATACCAATAGAATTGTATTTTATCGTGTGCCAACGAATAGCCTTTACATCAACTGCTTTTCCATTTTCATATTTGAAAAGCAAATTTTCCCGACTAAAGTGTCCGTGACACAATATTTTCTGTTCCTTTACAACTGTTGATTGCAAATTTTCACGAATATCTTCACCAACTATATTTTTGATCTTTTTTAAAATTTTCGAATCTATCAATGTTTTTATTCTGAAAAATGTAAATTTTATATGATATTGAAAATTAAAAATTTTTTTCGAAATAAAAACTTGGATATAAAATTTAAATTAAAAAAAAAAAACATCAAACCTGGAGTATCCTTTACAAAAAATTTGATTGGATTCCATATTCTTTAATGTTGAAAAATTATTTAACGAACAATTCTTCTCTCTCACATATTTTAAAATGCTTTCATGAAAAAATCCAATTGCACTGGCGCATAAATTTAATTCTTCAAGATTCAATTTTCTAATTTTCTCAAAACCCTGAGCATTTAAATCTTCCAGTACAAGTGTAGGTCGACCATATTTACCCATACTAACGGCATAACATTTTGGAACACATTTTGTATTGCTCTTACGTAGTAAATGACTATTGTAAAATATTTCTTCATTTAAAAACCAATCGTAAGCAATGTCATTTACAGTAGCTGGTAGTAATTTAATAAAAATGGAAAATGTTTTTGGTTCACCGGAAAATTTAACTATTATATTTGCTGAATAATAAGATTCATTATTCGTTGGACCCTTTTCGTTATTAAGTGATTTTACACAGGCTGAATCATACTCGACAAATTCCCTTGAACCAACGTCACAAAAACATCTTTCGTATACCAATTCTGGTAAAAGTTCATTTTTTATGAAATTTATGTCATCATCCTCTGACGAATTCATTTTCTATAAAAAAAAAAAAATTATTAAAGTAAACTAGAAATATTAGAAATGTATATTAAAAATTTTTTTTTAATTCTTTTGTATATTTTCCAGTAAAGTTTTTGTAGTTATTACAAATTTATTACAAATGTTGATAATTGTGACTCATTATCACAGTTTTCCTAAAAGTATCAAATTGAGACCAAAAATTGCATCAAATCTTTGCAACGTTTTGATGCACATAAGTTATATTAAAAAGAGATCGTTTTGTGTATCATTTTTAGAAATGATACACGAAACGGTCTCATTTTTTGATGCAAAAAATTTAATCAATTTATATCAATCATGGCCGAATTGAATCGACTCAAAATTAAACGAATTTTTTTCAGATATTTTGGTAATAGTACAATTGCGGAGACCATTTCACTATTTAATTTGAAAATGAAAATAACAGAAAATCAAAGACAATGTGCAATTCGATAATTAAAAAGTGACAGCTTATAAACATAACCTAAAATGCATGAGAAAAAATTTGTCGATAAAATCAATATAGCCGAGCTTTTTAGAAGGTAGATGGCAGCACTCATCTATTTTCTTTCTTTAAATTTTTTCTGAATCGTTTTTATAAAAAGCAAAACTGCCATCTACCTTCTAAAAAGCTCAGCTATATTGATTTTATCGACAAATTTTTTCTCATGCATTTTAGGTTATGTTTATAAGCTGTCACTTTTTAATTATCGAATTGCACATTGTCTTTGATTTTCTGTTATTTTCATTTTTAAATTAAATAGTGAAATGGTCTCCGCAATTGTACTATTACCAAAATATCTGAAAAAAATTCGTTTAATTTTGAGTCGATTCAATTCGGCCATGATTGATATAAATTGATTAAATTTTTTGCATCAAAAAATGAGACCGTTTCGTTTTTTTTTTTAATATCTAAATAACATAAGCTTTTAGTTTAATAAGTCTTAAATTTACTTTATACAATAGAAATTTCAAATTTTCTATTCCAAAGGTGTTTTTTGACTAGAATCGCGCCGCAATTAGTGCATTTACCCTATTCATTTTTTGAATAAATTGAGTTTACAAATATTTTAAAAATGAAGGAAAAATTTACTTACCGGTAAATTGCGGACAATTTTTGGCAATTCAAATGAAGGATTTAAATTATTCTGATATTCGAAACAAATTACATTACATTACAATTCCATATTTTGGAACCATTAAAGGCCTAAAATAAACTTTAACAATCAATTGTAAAGACTGTATTCACGAAAATAAACGAAATAAACTAAATTAAAATTAAATTTATGAAAAATAATAAATTATAGGTTATAATTCTAGTATACATTTATATACAATGGAATAAATACTGACACGCCGCTTGAAAATTGTGAAAGGAAATACTTTGAAGTATTCCCCTCCATAAAGATTATAAAAGATCAAGTGAGACATGACATCATTATTATCGAGTTTGTCGTTCATTGACCATTAAAAGTTTGTAGTGCGTCTTTCAATGATTATACTTAGAAAAAAATTTTCCAATAACTTCTCTTTGTCCAAACATGATATAATTTATTTTGAAATTTTTTTTAAAATATATTTTTTTGAAAAATTAAAATTTAGTCAAATCGTAATTTCATGTATATTTTAGAAATTTTTCCAATAAATGTGAATAAAAAAAAAATTTTAATAAAAGCTGAATTAAAAATTTAATTGATTTAATTCAATATTGTAAAAGACAAATTGGATTATAAAAGTATTATTGGTTTTTTATTTTAGATGAAATTATCATTTTTGAAAAGTTTCGACAAGAACAAAAAAAATTGAAGATCATTTTTAAATAATAATAACTTCAACACACTAAACCAAACACGTCAAAATTTATCGTCATTTTTCAAAAATCCTTTTTAATTTAGATTTAGAAACAATAGTCATAAAAATAAATCAAAATTAAATATGCAGCAAAGGAAAAATAATGTGAGAGTCTTTAAAAATATTTTTTAAAAATTTAATTAAACCAGTAAATAAAAATTTGGTTGTGATTTTAACCGATATGCCACAGATTCCAACATACTATCACAACGAATTTGCTCAGACGAGTCAAAATAATTTTCAAAATCAACAGAAACAACAGCAAACTGTTTCTCCGCAATTGATTTCTAATATGAATCCTTTTAACGTAAATCAACCAGGTATTGAAAATTAATTTCAAATGCAAATTATTGATAATTTTATTATTTCAATCAATCAAATTATTATGCACATATTACGAATTGTTACAATAATTTCATTAATCAATATTTGTCCCAGTTTCCATTTTATTACTTATCCAAATATTTATTTAATTAACAGGCCTTGAATTATACTTTTTCCAACTTTTTTCGACTTATTTTAATAAAATGCGACTTTTTCGACTTCTTTTTACATTTAAAAAAAAAATTTAAACAAATTCGATTTTTTTAGTATACAATGGAAATCTTATTAAGATTTTCATTATTTTAATTATTTAACAAATTTTTAATTAAAATTCTTCACTAAATTAATTATTTTCAATAATTTTAATGAAATTCTTCACAAATTTAATTATTTTAAACTATTTTTCAATTAAAATTTTTATGAAATTTAATAATTGTTTATAATTTAAAAAAAAATTAGCAAATAAAATTACCAAACAAAAATTCAAAATCACTTGAAATTTAATTATTTGCAAAAATTTTCAAGTATTTTTATGAATTTTATAATATTCTTCGAAAATTCAATTATCTAAAAGCATTTTTCAATTCAATTTTTGTATGTGATTTCTAATAAATTCTTCATCAACAGAAATCACTAAAAATTTCTCTTGTTATAATTTTATTGTCTGAAATTTAACACAATGTTTTGAAATTCAATTATTTTCAAAAAATTTCAATTTAAAACTTTTAAAATTTAATTATTTCTCAAATTTTCCATTTAAAATTTTTTTGAAATTTACTTATTTCAATTATAACTCTTCTGAAATTCAATTATTTTTAATGATTTTTATAATATTCTTCGAAAATTCAAAAATCACTTGAAGTTCAATTAATTTCAAAAATCTAAATAAATTGTAAATCTTTGAAAATTCAATAACTTTTAAAAAATGTTATCTAAAATTATTTGATAAATTATTTTTAGTTCTTTAAAATTTAATTATTGTCTGAAAAATTTTGAAATTCAATTATTTCTAAAAATTTCAACTTTAACTCTTCTAAAATTATTATTTAGAAAAAATTTTTATTTAAACTTCTGTAACCTGAAATTTTTTTGACCATAAAAACTAAAAAATATGCAAAAACTTTTAATTCGAATAAATTGCTTAAATCAGATTTTAAAAAATTATAAAAATGAAACTAAGAATTTTTTTTAGAAATTTGTCCTACTTAAATAAAATTTTGAAAATTTGTCTTACAATTAATTCAATTTTGAAATATTCGAAATAAATTTTCTTGATAATATTTTTATACAATTATTCTCATTATAGAATTAATAAAATAAATTTAATAGGGTCAACTGGGGTAAATCCGAACGCTTTTAGTAAGTTTCAACAATAACATAAGTTTTTTCTTTAAAAAAAAATACTTCCGGTATTCTGGTGCATGAAGTTGTTACTTTACTTCCATAGAACAATTTTATGGGGTAGAAAAAATTTTTGATAAATTACAATCGCAGGAAACTTAGCGTTCGTATTTACCTCGATACTTTGCAACTTTCCTAAAATATGGGGGTAAATACGAACGCCACTGTATTTCAGAAAAATCTTAGGGAAAATAAATTTAAAGTATTGCAATTGTTAAACTTATATAAAAACTCAAAAAAAATACGATAATAAACCTATTATGTAATAATGCATCATATATAAATACAAAAATCAAACAGGTTAAAAATTAAAATGCATTACACAATTAAAACCTTCAATAACTTTATCAAATCAATAACGGATTTTTGCAAAACTTGGTAAAGAAAGTATTTTGGAGTAATTTAATGTAAATACAAAAATAAAAGTCAAATTTTTTAAATTCAAAATGGCGTACTTTCCTAAAACTTATTTTTAAAAATTATCAAATTTGCTAACTCTGAAACCCCCCGAGTAACAATTTTCGAGCGAATCCAATGAATTTTTTAATTCTCGTCCGCCATTTTGAATTTTGAAAAACTGACTTCAAATTGGTAATTAGTGACCCCAAAAACCGTAGAATACCAAATTTTATTAAGATCCTGAAAAACTTTTTTCAACAAACCATTTGGCAAAAAAATTGAAACACTCCTTCGAGAGAACAGAGATTAAGTTTCTGCTTATTAATTACTAACGAGGATACATATAGAAAGAAAAACTTTTTTCTATGTACTTTTATAATGTTAAAATAATAGTGTAATCAAATAAAAACAATTTTGTGTGGCTTTGATGTAAAAAAAAATTATTAAAAATACCGTTCGGATTTACCCCAGTTTTCCAATTTTTTTGGGTAAATACGAACGGTCTGATATTATTAATAAAATTTTACAGAAGGCAAAAATCAAATATAGTTTCTGTTCTAGTATTCATAACAAACAATTATAAATAATAAAATGAAATTTTAGCTTCTTTTTCTTCAAATACGAGACAAAATACTGAAAGAGTGTCATCTTTGATTTTCAATCTTTTTTGCAATACTTGTTATCTTTGTTTATGCTGTTGCTAATTAACAAACAAAAAATGGGATAATACTTAGAATCTCTTCAAGAGGATCTGAGGTAAAAATTCTCATAGGGTAACGGCACCAGTGAAGGAACTGACACCAGTGAAAGAACAAATTTCATGTTTTGCATTCTAATTAGTGTAATAAGCATTTTGGTATTATAAATTATATATTTTTATGTTCCTTATTTAATTTACGTCTTTAGTATCTAAGATACCTAGAGAGTTAACACGTAAATTTTATAAAAAAAATTTTTTAAAAATGTTGTGTTGCAAATTTATCTTCAACAATAAGAACTCTTCTCTGACACGTTATTTCTTTTTTCACATTTAACTAATTTAAACTGCCTTAAATCGTCGGTCTTTTTTAAACTAAATTTATCTTGTGTATTAGAAATACTTCTTTTCATTTAAAAGCTAATAAAATATTAATTTGCCATAAGAAAAGCAAATTCCGTCATTGGGGGGTTTTTTTTTTTATTTACTAGTGAAAGAACAGAAATGTTTTTTCACTGGTTCCAATGCAATCCAATGAAGGAACACCTTCAACGAATAGTCTGAAGTCAAACAAAAAAATGACAAAATCAAATAGGTTAACACTGTTAGGTTACAATAATATTGTCAAAATAAATTGCAAGTAGATGATTGATTGTAGGTTATAAATGCATTTTCAATTAAAAATAAGATTCTGCAAACTTAGTTAAAAAATATTCATAATTATCATTAATTTACCTTAATTTAGTATATTACAAACATTTTATTACTTTATCTTCGTTTTAATATATTTTTTAAATATATTTTAAATATATATTTCACATCGTTCTTTCACTGGATGCAGAAAATTCTTTCATTAGACAATTTGTTCTTTCACTGGTGAAATAGGTATGTTTTACTTATTAATTAAAATTTTAATTAACATCTTATATTTATGAAAATTAAATATGACCTTCGCATTCTACACTTAATTAGCTATCGAAATAAAATTGGTAAAAAAATTTTTAATAACTGCATTCAAAAATAATAAATGATTAAAGTATGCATTTCCTTAAATGTTCTTTCACTGGTGCCGTTACCCTATCGAACTTATTTTTAAAAATTTTAATTAAGCTGAAATAATTAGCGTTCGGATTTACCCCCCGTTCGGATTTACCCCGACTGACCCTATCTAATAACATTAGTTATTTTATTTAAAGTAAAATATTCAATTAAATTTTGTTAATTAAAATCGACTTTTTCGATTTTTTTTGGAATATAAATCGACTAAAACGACTTTTTTTATGCCTTAAAGTCGATCCGAGGCGTGAATTTAAAAAAAAAACAATTTACTTTTTTAATTATTAAATTCTAATTTTATTAAATAATTTGTAAAATAATTATTTTTCGCCATTGTTTGTTTTTTTTATTTGCAATCGAATTGTTTATTAACATTAATTTTTTTTTATTATTATTTTAAAAGGATCTAGCTTTCAGCATCAACCTTTTCAGCAATATCAGACGACGGATTGTATTGGTGGTCAACAAGTACCTAGTCAAAATTTAATATCGAATCCTTATCAACAAAATCCAAATATGTGTTCAAGTACACCGGGAATGCAAAATCAAAATTATTTCGGATCCTTGACTCAAGGACTTCTGGACCAATTTCGTTCCTGTATAAACAGTGCAGCGCCAATTTTCATTTTGCCCAATGCATGCCCCAATCCTGCCCCAACAACGCCCCAATTGCCAAACTCTATTTTAGGACATAACATGGGATATCCTGTGAATTATCCACCAATGGGTATACAATTTTTTCAATCATCTGAATAAATTACTATTTTTAATTGTTTACAAAAACATTTTTTAAATTCTCTTTTCTGTGAGAATAAAAAAACAAATAAAAATGGAAATTATGATTTGAAATTTAAAAGTTATAACTGATCTTTAAATATTCCCATATCATATATGAAAAATATAAAAAGAAATACCAATGAAAAGAAATAGGTCATTATTTTTGAAAAATTGTCGGTCAGAAAGTATCAACGTAAAAACTAAATATAAAAAAAAAAATATATATATATATATAGTGAAAAGTTACGACATACGACATAAAAGCTCTTTTCATTCCTTCTTTTAAAAAGAATAGTTTCTTATATTTTACAACAAACAAAAGAATAAAAAAAATTATTTTTTACAATTTATCAAATATAATATTAAATCCCATCAGATCATAAAAAAAAAATTTTTTTTTTATTTAAAAGAAAAATTTATAAATCTAGTTAAATATTTACACTCTTCAAATTGATTTTCAGTTTAAATAGACATTATAAATTCAAACGATGTGCGTAGATATATTAAATTCATTCAAGGAACTCTGAGGGTGCGAAAACTTATAATTCTCATGGGACTAAATTTTATACGTAATTTATATTCAAAAGTCTCATCCGCACGTAAAAGTTTTCAGTGCTCGTAAAAAAGAGATGATTTTTTTTTTTTTTTTAAAAACATTTTCAATTCTCTTGAAATTATATAAAAATAATAATAATTAATTAAATTTTTCAGGTGTACCATACACATCTCCTCCTGTTTGTATTCCCTATGCACTTCCAATTCCTATTTATAATAATATAACGAATCAAGATCGTAGAAAGGAAAAATCAAATAATTGTGAATGTTGTCCAAAAATGGAAATGATGAGAGAAACATTTAAGAATCCAAATATTTTCAATGAATTCACAGAACACAAATGTAAAGAATCTAGAGAAGAGAATACAATTTGTACAAAGAAACATTGTCCATCATCATTGAATTTACAAGCATTGGCATCACAATTTCTTGCAATTCCAGGAATAATATCATGTGCATCAACTCGATTAATTTTAAGAAAAGTTCCTGGTTCAAATATAATTACAAATGTTGATGAAACAATTAATACTGCGGTAATGGCAATCAATCAATTGAATAAAGATCAACTTTTAACTGAATCAAAAAATGCCCAACAAATTAATGCTTTAATAAATATTCACATGAATGCAAATCCTCCATCAATTATTATTCCCATTTTGACAATGATTCAATTAAAAGTAAATTTACTTAAGGCACATGTGGAACATTTAATAAATAAAAAATTAATGGAAAATCAAGGAATTGGAGCTGAAGGATCTGGTAATTTAGATCCTCTTGTACTAACATTGAAAACAGATGCTGAACTTAGAGAATTTTTAGCTGCTCTTCGAGAAAAGGAATGTCAGGAAAGGGTAAAAATTTAATTTTAAAAATTATCTACGTCATTTTATTGTTCAATTTCATCAATAAATTTCAATATAATGAATTTACATTTCTTTTTTTCCAAAAATTTTATTAATAGGTAAATTTTAATTTCGCCCCATATCATGCTCAACGATTATTGTCGGAAAGTCATTTGAACAATATCCAAAGTAAAATATCTCAAGTTAGTATATAAAAATAATTCGTTTTAATTTTTATGTTACACTACTTATAATAGTGCACTTGATCTAAAACATGTATACAGAAAATTAAAAGGCATTAAAATAAGCTGCAACGCTTATTATTTTAATCCATTTTGGTATTAAAATAAGCAAAATTGGATTAAAATAATAAGCGTTGCAGCTTATTTTAATGCCTTTTAATTTTCTGTGTACGTCCTAACATTTTTTTTTTTTTTGACGATAGAAAAATAAAAGAAAAAGTAGGAATTAATTAATGAAAATCTTGAATACCGTCAACCGGGGCTATTATCATACAAAAATCGCAATTTTTTTGTTATATATGCTTAACCAAATTTCAATCTTTATAGAAAAATGTATTAAATAAATGCATTTATAGAAAAACTTTATCGTGTTGTGGACATCCTTCTAAAGATTGTCTCAAAGTTTTATTAGAAAAAAATTTTTATCTGAGTTTTATAAACTCAAAGTTTTTATAATAATAGCTTCGCGTTTGTGGCTATTATGGTAAAAAAAATTTGTTTCTTGTTCATAAAATAAAGAAAAAATTTTTTTCACCAAATTAAACTATATAGAAATTTTTAAGGCCATGTGCAACTCGTCAAATGTAAACAAACATGAAAATGTACGTAATTATTGACAAATTTGCGACAGCCTGTTTTTTAATAGAAAATAAAAATTGTTCTTTTTCTATATGAAAATGGAAACTACAGCCTGACACCGCATTTGACTAATAATATGAATAATATTAAGAATTATAATAAAATAGATATGAAATTGAATTAGACATTTTCTCAAGGTTACGGACTTTAAAATATCTTTATTATCAAATAAAATAACATTTATACATAGTACAATTTATAACTTAAAATATACAAGGACTCTAAATCAAGGTTACGAAAAAATAACCATTTGAGTATATCTGAGGCTTGGACATTGAGGACCTAGGTAGGAGAAATAGTGTGGGAAGGCGTAAAAGACCTAGTCTCTGTCCTCTGGTGGGGGTATAACTTCAGAATTTTACCCTTTCCAACCTGTGACCGTCCAATGGCTCAACTCTTTCTCCCACCTAGGTTCACAACGTCTGTGCCTCAGATATACTCAAATGGTTTTTTTTTTTTTGTAACCTTGAGGAAATTGTTGTTTCAGTGTAATTTTCATTTTATTATAATTATTAATATTTTTTATATTATTAGTCAAATACGGTTTTAGGCTGTAGTTTTATATATGAATTTTCCATTCTCACATAGAAAAAGAAGAATTTTTATTTTCTATTTAAAAAAAGGCTGTCGCAAATTTGTCAATAATTACGTACATTTTCATATTTGTTTACATTTGACGAGTTGCACCTGGCCTTAACTAAATATTCTATAAATATAATTTTTAAAAAGTTGCTGAAAAATTATATTATTATTATAGGAATTTTACTGAATTTTTTTTTGTGTTATGAATTCTATTATAATTTAAACAAATTTCAAATTAATAAATTTTATGCTAATTAAATACCTTAATAAGGTACATTATTATTTAAGATATTTTAAATCAATTAACAGTTTTTGAACTAACTTGAAAACCATGTGAAATTATAATAATGTTACTTTTTGAGGTTACGTTTTACTTTTTGTAAAATTATAATTGATTTCTTTTTCATTTTTCTGATACAAAAATACGACATTTGTGTATAAAATTGAAGCATAGGAGGTTTTTTTTACTTATTAGGCTGCGTTTACAATAGATTAAAAAATGTGTAACGATCGTGTAGTGTAAAGTCGTGTATCTTGTATGACTTAGAATATTGCAAGTTAACTGATGTTAATAAACAAAAACATAACCTCAAATTCAGATTTTTAATATTAATTTAATTTATTTATTAATTTTAATTTTCAATATTAAAAATCTGAATTTGAGGTTATGTTTTTGTTTATTAACAGCAGTTAATTTGCAATATTCTAAGTCACGACTTTACACTACACTACACTATACACGATCATTAGACATTTTTTAATCTATTGTAGACGCAGCCTTAGGAAATGAATTTTCGTATAATTATACGATTACAACACAGATTTGACCAATAAGAAAAAGTTTTTAAAAAATCCAATCATCTGATTGGTCAAATCTGTTATAATATTTCACTGTTCTATCTACATGGAACTGCAGCCTAAGGATGGAGTTACATGTTGTCATGTTGATGTAAATGTAGAATGCAAAACCGAAAATAATGAGAGTGAAAAGGATAGTGATATATCCCTGTCCTTTTCACTCTCATTATTTTCGGTTTTGCATTCTGCATTTACCGTGATTTACACCAACATGTAACTCCATCCTATAAGGTAGCATTTAACTACCCAACCTTGTTAACTGACCTGTTTCATATATCGCCTTGATCGACTCTTTTGTCTTCTTGTTCATAAAATATTTTCTTCATTTGTTGACATTAAAGTTTTATAATAGTCTTTTTTTAAAAACATGAAACAGTATTGAAAGAGAAAAGTTAAACAAAATTTGTTGAATATTTAAAAACAGGTGGAAGATGAAATGAATAGAAGACGTAACAGTTCAATTCCGAGGACGTCAATTGTCAATCGTTTACAGTGTCAAATTACAAATCCATGTTATTATAATAATTCATTATTGAGCGCTGCTGAAAATTATCCAACGCAAACATACGAGTCTCCTGATCCCTTCATCATCCAAGTACGCAATCCCAAGCGACTTAACTTGAAACCTCACGTTGGAAGTCCTGAGACAACTTACGAACAATCCAAAGATTCTGTTAAGGATAACGAAAATGTTTGTTGTAACGTTTCAAAAGAAAATTTAGAAAACAATAATCGTTCATCAACCTCGTCAGATCATTCACCAGAAAATAATTTTAAAGATGAAAAAATTTCTACCGAGAAATCTAATGAGAATAATCAGTTAATTAATTGTAAAGATAATGATAATAAGGAAATTAAATCAATTGGAAACGCAGTAGATGTTTGCAATAATAATGATAATGATGTAAAAAAAACATCGAATCAAAATGATATAGAAAATTCTGAAATTGACAATATTCCATCGAAAGAATTTAGTCAAAAATGTTATCAAGAACATAAAATTGATTTAGAGACAGAAAATTTAGAGGAAAAAAATACGAATGATTTGATGAATAAGACAAGAGGGAAAAATCAACCCGAAGAAAATAACTGTAAAGAAATTAAAACATTAGTGAGTGAAGATTTAGAAAATGAAAATAAATTAGCAAGCGATGATACCGATCATCAGAGAGCAAATGAGGATGACTTGGATGAGGACAGTGTTATGGCAGATGTTTAGGAGGGCAAATAAAGATTAGAAAAAGAACTCATTGCAAAAAAAAATTGAAAAAACTTTTCAAGAATCTTACTGTGATTTATAATCGGTCTGTTTATACTTAAAAATCACAAAATTAGCTTTTTTGACAGGTGAACTTTAAAATCATATTTTATCTACAATTAAATATTCTTAATAACTTACAATTTGATGTCATATTTTTAAAATCCAACATAGCGATGCAATATGATGGTCGAATTTATAAAAAATTATCTTTTTACAAAATTTAGTATCTTTAGAGTTTTTTCAGGTTATTCATTACGAATCATAAGCCAAATTTTAAAAATTATTTAAATTTTTTCAACCATATTGGATCGGCCATTTTGGAATTTGAAATTGTGATTTTAAATTCGTAATCATCGAATTCAAAAACCTTTAGGTACCAAGATTACAGTAAATTCGTCAATATTTATAAAACTTGGACTAACACATAAAATCCATTATGTTTTTATGAGGTTAGATAAATGAGAAGTTTCATATGAGATTGAGGGGTCATATCCCCGATTACGATCAGTTTTTGCTTTTTAATAGTGATTGGGGATCTGATTAAGTATTTTAAATATTTTTTTTAAAAAATGAGTATTTTCCGAGATATTTGCATTAACAAATTAATGCAACTTTTTTTCAAATAACTGTAACTTTATTATTATTAAAGATAGAAAAAATTTGTTTAAATATTTTTTACTCCAAACAAGTTAAATTTTTAGGAAAAAAAATTAAATTAAAAAAATTTTTATTTCATAATTTATTTATTTAATAAACAAATTTTATTTTTAATATTTAAACCTGTTATTATTGGCCTTCAATTGGTTTGAAAAAAAACATTAATATTGTTTAATATATAACAAATTGACCTACCAATTTTGGCAGACACGTTATTTTTCTTTTTTGAGAAAAAAATTTTTGAAATTTTTGGTGCACGCACGACCGTTGAGCAACATGATGCGGCGCGGTATCATTCATATGAGATTTCACATGAGATTTACCTATGACCTTTTAAATTCGTCCAAATATATTTTTTTCTTATTCTTTGTAGAAAAAAAGGTTTAATTATTTTTTTATTTTTTTAATAAGTGCTCAAATTTTTGAGTTATGAACTTTTAAAAATCTGATATTTTCAAGTTTTTTTGAAATACACCTAATTTCAATGACATGTCACTCTAAAAGTATTGAATTTAGGAATTATGACCAAGATACAAAAAAGTTTCAGTTTTTTATCGACTTTCAAAATATGTTAACGAAAAAAAAAATTTTGAATTTGTTTATAAAAAACAGCAATTTTTTATAAACAAATTAAATTTTTTTAAATTTAGGCGCGATTTAAAAATTTTTTTTTTTATTTTTACACACATGAAAGTGAGAAGAAAATTTTGCAATAAGTTTTGGATTGGGCCTGATGATTCTTTTGTTTATATAATTTGTTTAAAGAAAAAAAATTACTTTTTTTGGTTTTTTTTTATTTTTCAAAATAAAAAGTGATTTTAATTTGCTTTTCTATGAGTTTACTAGTAGATCCTAGTGTCAAAATAACTTTTTATTACCTCCCTGAAGTTGGCTTCGACGCTAAGCGCCAAAAATTGTTTTTCGCAGAATCAAAAATATCAAAACATTTTTTAAAAAGGTTTTTGGTCCACAAAATGTCTTGAGAAGTATTTTTCAAGGTATTCTTTGGATTGAAAAATTAAAAAAAAAATAATTAGAAATTTTTGATTCTGCGGAAAATAATTTTCGGCGCTGAGCGTCGAAGCCAACTTCAGGGAGGTTTTTTATTTTGAAAAATAAAAAAAAACCAAAAAAAAGTAATTTTTTTTTTTAAACAAATTATATAAACAAAAGGAACATCAGGCCCACTCCAAAACTTATTGCAAAATTTTCTTCTCACTTTCATGTGTGTAAAAATAAAAAAAAAATTTTTTTAAATCGCGCCTAAATTTAAAAAAATTTAATTTGTTTATAAAAAATTGCTGTTTTTTATAAACAAATTCAAATTTTTTTTTTCGTTAACATATTTTGAAAGTCGATAAAAAACTGAAACTTTTTTGTATCTTGGTCATAAGTCCGATAAATTCAATACTTTTAGAGTTGCATGTCATTGAAATTAGGTGTATTTCAAAAAAACTTGAAAATATCAGATTTTTAAAAATTCATAACTCAAAAATTTGAGCACTTATTAAAAAAATAAAAATACGTAAACCTTTTTTTTCTACAAAGAATAAGAAAAAAATATATTTGGACGAATTTAAAAGGTCATAGGTAAATCTCATGTGAAATCTCATATGAATGATACCGCGCCGCATCATGTTGCTCAACGGTCGTGCGTGCACCAAAAATTTCAAAAATTTTTTTCTCAAAAAAGAAAAATAACGTGTCTGCCAAAATTGGTAGGTCAATTTGTTATATATTAAACAATATTAATGTTTTTTTTCAGACCAATTGAAGGCCAATAATAACAGGTTTAAATATTAAAAATAAAATTTGTTTATTAAATAAATAAATTATAAAATAAAAATTTTTTTAATTTAATTTTTTTTCCTAAAAATGTAACTTGTTTGGAGTAAAAAATATTTAAACAAATTTCTTCTATCTTTCATAATAATAAAGTTACAGTTATTTGAAAAAAAAGTTGCATTAATTTGTTAATGCAAATATCTCGGAAAATACTTATTTTTAAAAAAAAATATTTAAAATACTTAATCAGATCCCCAATCACTATTAAAAAACAAAAACTGATCGTAATCGGGGATATGACCCCTCATTCTCATATGAAACTCCTCAAATATCCTGACGTGATAAATAAAAACGGACTTCACATTCTTGTTCAGCGACCAAAAAAACATAAAATACACTTAGTTTGTCAATGTAACCTTTCATCGATTTTTTATTGTTCTCAGTTATTAATCTAGATTACTGATCTAGATTACTGATTTAGATTACTGATCTAGATTACTGATCTAGATTACTGATCTAGATTACTGATCTAGATTACTGATCTAGATTACTGATCTAGATTACTGATCTAGATTACTGATCTAGATTACTGATCTAGATTACTGATCTAGATTACTGATCTAGATTACTGATCTAGATTACTGATCTAGATTACTGATCTAGATTACTGATCTAGATTACTGATCTAGATTACTGATCTAGATTACTGATCTAGATTACTGATCTAGATTACTGATCTAGATTACTGATCTAGATTACTGATCTAGATTACTGATCTAGATTACTGATCTAGATTACTGATCTAGATTACTGATCTAGATTACTGATCTAGATTACTGATCTAGATTACTGATCTAGATTACTGATCTAGATTACTGATCTAGATTACTGATCTAGATTACTGATCTAGATTACTGATCTAGATTACTGATCTAGATTACTGATCTAGATTACTGATCTAGATTACTGATCTAGATTACTGATCTAGATTACTGATCTAGATTACTGATCTAGATTACTGATCTAGATTACTGATCTAGATTACTGATCTAGATTACTGATCTAGATTACTGATCTAGATTACTGATCTAGATTACTGATACAGATTACTGATACAGATTACTGACACAAAAAAAGCATCACAATTTTGTTCTGTAAAAACGTATATTCTTTACTATAAAAAAACTTTTCAATTATTAATTTATGAACAATTATAGTCAAATAATTAAATAATAATTATTATTTCATTAAATATTGTGCGAAATGTATGAAATTTGGCTTTTATTAAGGGAGAGTCGGTAGTGGCGAGACACGTTTTGTTTTTTTGTTATAGCACTCACATTTTCAAGAACATCAAGTCTGTATATATATATTCATGGACAGGTGTGACTCTATACTGCAAATTTAACTTATACAGTTACAGAACAGATATTGTAAAAAAAAGTTATTGCCGATTTACGATAATGTCTCGCGACTACCGACATAAAAAATCGTCCGTAGTGGCGAGACACTATCTTAAAATGAGAGTCTTCATCGTTCAATCGTAACAAAAAACAAAGGAATCAAAGAGAAAGAGTATCATAATTGATGCCTTTAAATCATAATATTGTTTCATTCAATCATAAAAATACAGGCAAATATTTTTCTGATTGTGAGCCGCTAATCCATGTCACAGTTATTAAAAACAAATAAGCTTTTCTTCCTGTTCATCTTTTTCAATTTAAACTATAGTTATGAAAAATATTGTCGACAAAACGTACAAAAATTATATCAAATTCATTAGGACATGTACAATATTATTAGATATAAAAAGCCACTGCCGACAACAAGTGTCTCGCCAATGCGGAAACAGCATTTTTCGGTAATGACGATGTACAATCCTATGCATCGAACAATAATTCATAGTGCTCTGGAAATTTTGAAGGAAACTTAAATACTAAAGACTCAAAACATTTGACCCTTCAGAAAATTCCGGAAATTTTTATATATTATCACTTATACCGATGGGAAATAAAACTTTTAAAATATCTTGAAACTGTTATTAACAGTATAGCGATATTTCGTACATCAAAAACGTATGCATCATATTGAAAAGTTAAAGCACAATAAAACTTGTCTTTCAGGCCAGAAGTGCCAGCACAGTCAGTTCAGCTGTCTGAAATATCCTAATGTCTCGCCACACAGGCTGTCTCGCCACTGCGGACAACGCCCTACTTAATGAAAAAAAAACAATTTACCAATGTAGACCATTTATTTTGTTAAAATATGCCATATAATAATTTATAATGGTATAATTTTTTGTAAATAATAATACAATAAATAAAAATCTAGATTATATTTTGGATTGCAATAGAAAATGAACTATAAAAACCAGCGGATTAGAGTTTTTTAAAAAAAATTGATAAAACAGTTTTCGAAATAGTGGAATGATTTTAATAACGATAGAAATATGTAAATTTCTAATGACATTAATATTTATACAAGTAATAAAATATCAGTTCTGTAAATTCATTTCAACAATGACCATTTAAGTTGTTCTTTTGCAGATTGCAGGACCTGAAAAAAGATTTTAAAAAATAGACTTTAGAATTTATAAATGTAATAAAAATTTTAATTAAAGAAATTTTTTTAATATTCATAAAATCACTTATTCAATTCAAATAAAAAGAGAACTTCTTTTTTTTAATATAATATTATTCTCCAATTTTTCTAATCAAAATAAAAATCGAAAATACCTAATAAGTGACTTAAACGAATAATTTAACTGAAAATTAATTAATGTTTATAAATCGATTAAAAAATTCTGTAATGAGTAGAATATTATTCGCGAAACAAATTTTGATGAGAAATGTTGTTATTTTTTGGATGAATCTCTATTTGAATTCAATTCATATTGTAGTTACGCTCTACTTTATTTGTTATTAACTAATAATTGCCAGTATAGCTGCTTTTAATTATTATTTATATAATTACTGTTATATTCATTTTGTATTTTGAAGTACTTTCTTCAGCCTGTATATTTTCTAAATAAATAAACAATTATTCATTATTCTAAATTTATTATGTATAGACTGAAAAAAAAATAATTAGCAAATTTTATAAAAAGTACTTTAGGATTAAGAGAAAAATGTATTTAAAAGCGAATTTTCATATAAATAAATTTTTTAATTTTTATGAAAACTTATAAAATTTTGTTTTTTTCACATTTTCTTTAAATCTTAAAATAATTTTATAAAATTCGAATATTATTTTCCTTTACAGTAGATAAATTTAGGATTTTATTTTTATTATAATAAGAATTATTATATTATTTACCTGTGCGACTGTTTGTTCGCCTAATGGAATGTCATCCGTCCTTAAAGCCACTCGTTGTACTATATTAGTGGGATCCGCGTCCAAAATAATTCTGTACCAAAAATTATATATTATATTTAAAACTCTATTAATATACAACTAAGCCAATAAATAAAATGTATTTTCTAAAAATAAAGAATAATATGAATAAAGAAATAAAAAAAAAAAAACTCAATATTAAAAGGTAAAATATAAAATGAAATTTTTTAACTTACCCTCCATCGCAAATCTCGTCAACAGCCAACATTATTGTATCTAAATTTTCCATAACGATACGTTTTTCAACATTTTTCCTCAAAAGATGATTTACCGTGTCATATAAACAATTTAAGACACTCATCAAAATTAGCTAGTAAATAAAAATTATATTTTCATTAAAATTTACTGTAAATTTAATTAAAAATACTTTAAATAATATTCTTAAAATTATATCATAATAATAATAATAATAATATTGTAATCACTGAAGGTAATAATAAATTTACCACTTACTTTAAATATAATAATAATAATAATTTTTTTATAAAATATAATTTTTGTTATTGTAAAATAAATGGGTCATTCCATGTGAGATTTTCATTCGAAATTTTTTTTTTGCCTAGAACATTTTTTATTGTATTTTTTTTATTTGCATTTGTGTTTTGTATTATTTTCAAAAATACATAATATAAATTTTTGCATCTAATTTGAAAATTGTAAATAGTATTTTAAAAAAAAAAAAAAAACAACACATTCGCAAAAACAGGAAAAAGTTCCTTATTTATTAGAGATTGGATTAAAAAAGAAAAAAAAATTCAAAAATCGATTACTTCGAATTGAAAAAAATCACTTTTTAAACTTTTTTTTTAATGCTTCCGTTAAAATAAAATTAAGTAAATATTAAATTAATAAAAACTATAAAAAACATTTTTTAGTCAAAAAATATGATAGAATTTTTCATTTTAAAATATTATTTCTTTAAAAATCGTTTATCATAAACGTTGTTTCGTAAATCTCACATGGAATGCCCCAAAATTAAAATATATTTTTTTATTATTAATAAACTGTTATTTCAAAAAAAAAAAAAACTTAAATAATTTTGTAATTTCATTTTAACATTTAGAATATATTTGTTTAATTCAATAAGAATAGATTGAAAGAAAATAAATTACAAATGAAAATATTTTGATGTAATAATAATAATAATAATAATAAATAAAAATAAATGACAGACCTCATTTTCGTTGGCACTTCCCATCACGTAGAAAAACAAGTCAACATTACTTTTATAAACACATATTAGTCCTTCATGAATAATAATTTCAGTGTTTGCCCTATGGGTCTTATTAAATAATGATTTTTCAAAGGTTTTTTGATCCTTTGATGATGTAAATTTACTCGAATCATAATATTTTGCAAGTATTCTATTGCCATCATTATCAAGAATTGCAATACCCTTAACAGTATAAAGAGTCGGTTCCTGTTAAATAATAAATTATAATGTACAATTTTAATATAATAAGAAAATAATTTAAGTTATTAAAAATTAACAATTATTTGCAATATTCTTTTTTTTTGCAAAGTAGTTAAAAAAAACTTCACAGATGATTCATATAATTTGTAATAAAAAGAAAAAAAAACCGTTCAAGCGAAATACAAAAAATAAACTAAATGTGAAAAGTTAAAAATAAATATAAAAAAAAAAAGATTAAAATAAAAATCATACGTGAGATTCAGAATGTGTTTCCGAATCAGAACGAAATGATCCTGAGAGGTTAGGTTGCGTTTGTTTCGGTAATGTATTGCGATTCATAGCTTAAACGTGTTTAAACTGTTCCGTACGATAGTTTAATGAGGAAGAGTTACTCAAATGATGACCTTTTATACTACCTAATGAAAAAAACATCCAGAACTGTTTGAAATACCCACCAATAACTGGCCGTCCATGATTCTGTGACGTGTCTTCTGCTCTTATTGAAATGTTTTCAATTGAAAAACTTGAATTTTTTTTTTTTTGAGCGTAAGGGCGGTGTTTTTTTTTAATAAACTTTTTTGACAGCCAGCTGTCTTTACATACTATTTTTTAAATAAATTATCACCTATTTTACAAGCTCATTTAATTTATAAATATCGTTTTCTTTAGTGAATAAAAATTTTGTCGACGTAAACTGTCAGTTTTGTGAATGTTTCTGTTTGATATCGATACTGTGATATATCGATAGCTTTATTTCGATATATTTTTATTCGTTAAAATATCGATAATAAAACTAAAATATATCGATAAATATTTTGGTAAAAAAAAAATTATGAACAAATAATTCTTTATGATATTTTTAAAATATAAAATAATTTATTTTTTCAATTATAAAATTCATTAGTCGCCAGTAAAAATGGAATATAAATATATGGAAACACAAATAAATAAGGAATCTTTGATTTTCGATATATCGCTTATAACGATATTCACTTTCGATTATATCGAAATAAATTTGCAAAACATAACCTCACTTTTTGCTTCCAACATTAAAAAATTTTCTAAATACCATTCTTGTAACACTAAAAATTGTAAAATTACAGAAATCTTTTTTAATGTAATCGTACCATTTTTTTTTTCTGTAATATTTTTTTTATGTTTTACATTTCACGTCAATATCATTTACTTTTGAATTTATAAACATATAAATATACATCCATTTTATAATTCTTTTATATTGAAATTTGCAATTTTATATTATTAAACCGCTATAGATACGTGGCTCCGTAACACCTGGACAATGCAAAATTTTCGAAAATGTTTTTATTTCGGGGCAAACTTTTTATAAAATATGCAATTTGTACACTTTATGTGATTGTGATTTTATTAATTGCTCAACGCATTTTTAGAATAAGTGACAATTATTATATTAATGAGAAAATTAATGAGAAAGCAGATGTTTCGTATTTTCATGAAAAATTCACTAATGTGAAAAGTGAAGAATATCGAAGGTGAGAAAAAAAATTGCAATAATGTTTTATTTAATTTTTTTCTTCCTGTTGCCTTTTTTGTTTTACTGATTATTATTATTTTTTTTATATTCTTTTGTTTATATATATATAAATAAAAATACATTTTACTGTTTGATTGTTATTATACATGTGTTACATTGTCATCTCAGTTTTATTGCATTTCTATTATTTTTTTAAAGATGAATTTATAGTTATTTTTTGAAATTTTTAATCAATTTTAAAAAAAATCTTTACACTTTTTTTTCTGATTTACTTATAAAATATGTAATTTAATTTTTTCCAGTTTTTAAATTAAAAAATAAAAAGATTTGTTAAATTTTTCATGTAAATTAAATTGTAAAATATAAAATTTGTATTGAATTTAATTTATTTTAAATCATTTTTTTAAACAAATGTTGAAACACTTTTTTTTTAATATAATAAAGTAAAAAATGAATTAACTTTTTATTTTAATAATTTCAGATATGAATCATGGATATTAAATTATGAACGTAATGTAATTCCCGGGATGGGTGAAAATGGAGAGCCTTCATTTTTATATGGAAATGAAAAAGTTAAGGGTGATTTAGCCCTTAAGAAAAAAGCATTGAATACTATTCTTTCGGATAAAATTTCTTTAAAACGAAATTTAGTGGATCCACGAAATCCATTGTAAGAATAAAATTTTTTTTTTTTTTGTTGATCAAAAAAAGTAGAGAAGATATTAAATATAATATAATAATAATTTTAGTTCAATGAAGGAAAAAAAAATTTTTTTTTTATATATTAATTTTAATAATTAATTACAGATGTAAAAATGTGACTTACGATACATTATTACCAAGTGCCAGTATAGTAATTATTTTTTATAATGAACCATGGAGTGTCCTTTTGAGAACTGTTCACAGTGTCCTTAGAAAATCACCACCAAAATTATTGAAAGAAATTATTCTTGTTGATGATTGCAGCGATGAAGGTTTGCATTTTAAATTAAAAATTTATTTTTTTTTTTATAAATATTTAAATAATCTAAAAGGTAAAATTTATATATTCAATTTTGTTGTTTAGTAAATAAACTGCATGATTAATTAAAAATAAATGATATTTTTAAAATAATATAATTAGAGAAATTATCGAAGTGATTTTTGATTATAATTTCTAATTAAAATTTTGAGATTTTTAATTTCTTTCTATCTTAATAATCAGAATCAGAATCAGAATGGTAACATTCAAATTAAACGAATTTTAATTTATTAAAATTTTTATTGATTTAACCTTTAAATTATCCAAATTTTAATTCGATTAAGATTCAATTTATTCCAAATTCACTTTGTCCAAAATGTCTAAAGTTTTAATTTATCCAAATTTTAATTGATTTAAATTACAAATTATCTGAATTTTATTTTATCGAAATTTTAATTAAGTTTTAATTTCTACAAAAATTCGATTTATCCAAATTTTAAACTATTAATTTACATTGATTTAAAATTTCAATTAATACAAAATTTGAATAGATAAAAATTAGTTATTTTCCACGTTAAAGAAAAAAGGTAGTTTGATGCCTGTTCTAATGAAAAGAGTGAAATATAGTAGAAAAACATTTTTCTAAGTTCAAATTATTAGATTTCAATTATAATTCATTTAATTTAATTAAAAATTTATTTGTCTGAAAAAGTTTTTTAATGTCAGGGTAATTAAAAAATTTATTCTTGTCGCAACCCTGATAATTAAATTTTTAATTTTAAATAAAAAATGTATATTTTCAGAGGGACTACAAAAAAGACTGAGTTATTATATAGCAACAAGATTTCCCAAAAAAGTTCAACTTCTTCGATTAACGGAAAGAAAAGGTCTTATACGAGCACGATTAAAAGGAGCTGAAATTGCAACTGGTGATGTTTTAATATTTTTGGACGCTCATTGTGAAGCGACAGTACAGTGGTAGGTATCAAAAATAAATTTTTAATTATTATTTTTATATATAAATACATAAATTTTTTTTTTTTTTTTTTCTCTACGGTGTTGAAATTTGGGGTTGGGAAAGAAACGAAAATGTAGAAAAATTTCAAGGGAGATATGTTAAAATGGCTTTGGGGGTGGATCAAACAACTCCAGGATACATAAATTTTTTTATTTTCTCCTTTTTTTCTATATAATTTAAAAATATAAGTGTAGTATTTTTTTTTCTATTTAATAATTACAGGCGTCGGATCAACTTTATGTCGCAAAAAAAGTCAGTTTAGGCGATTTATATTAAACAAAAAGTCGAATATTTTTAGAATCGAAGACATAAATTTTTTAAATTTTAATTAAGTAGGAAAAATTTATTTTTAAAAAATTCTGACAATTAAATTTTACAGTTTTTATTTGAAACTTTTTTAAAGAAATATTAAAAATAATTGAACTTTGGAAGAATGTACTGTTAAATTTTTTCAGAAATATTTGAATTTCAAATTTTTTTTTTTAATTTCAGACAGTAATCAAATTTTACAAAATTAAAACAAATAAATTTAGATAATCATTTTTTTAAAGTAATTTAATTTTCAAAGTTTTGAAATTAATTGAAATTCACGTGATTTTTAATTGAAATTTTTGATGATTTCTGTTGATGAAGAATTTATTAAAAATTACAGAAAAAAAATTAAATTTCAAAAGTTTTTATTTGAAAAATGCTTTCAAATAATTGAATTTTTGAAGAATATTATAAAAATCATTTAAAATATTTTAAATTTTGTAAAATTTATAGTTCACAATTTTAGAAAAAAATTTAGAAACTAGATTTAGAATTTATAAATAATTTTATATTAAATTTTTTTGTAAATAATTTAATTCAAGTGATTTTTAATTGAAATTTTTTTTTTGTGATTTCTGTTGCTGAAGAATTTGATTAAATATTAAAGAAAAAAATTGAACTTTAATATTTTTGTAATTGAAAAATGCTTTCAGATAATTGAAGAATATTATAAAAATCATTAAAAATAATTGAATTTTGGAAGAGTTATACCTAATTGAAATTATTAAATTTCAAAAAGTTTTAGATTAAAAATTTTAAAAGGTTTTAAATTCAAATTTTTGATAATTTTATTTGATTTATTTTTAAATTTGTAAACAATTGTTGAATTTCATACAATTTTTAATTGAAAAATAATTGAATTTGTGAAGAATTTCATTAAAATTATTAAAAAATAATTAATATTTCATACAATTTTTATTGAACAATAATTAAAAATAATTGAATTTGTGAAGAATTTCATTAAAATTATTAAAAATAATTAATTTAGAGAAAAATTTTAGTTAAAAATTTGTTAAATAATTGAAATAAAAAGAAGATCTGCATTGTATACAAAAAAAGACGTATTGTGTTTAAAAATTTTCTGAAAAATGTAAAAAAAATAGTGAGAAAAAGTCGCATAATCCTATGCCTGTAATTATTTTTTTTTATAATTTTTTACTGAATGACAAATTTTATACGATAGAAAAAATTTCGTTTTTGTGTTATATTTTTTCTTTATTTTCTAATTTAGATTAAAAAAAAAAAAAATTAAGTGAAAAATTTAATAATTCAAAAATAATTATCAATTTCCAGGCTTGAACCATTATTGCAACGAATTAAGGAAAAGAAAAATGCAGTATTGACACCAATTATTGATAATATATCGGAAGAAACTTTGGAATATTTGCACGATAATGATCCTTCATTTTTTCAAGTTGGAGGTTTTACATGGTCGGGTCATTTCTCTTGGATTGATATTCAAGATAAAGATTTTAAATCTCGCTCGTCATCAATTTCACCAACTAATTCACCAACAATGGCTGGCGGACTTTTTGCCATTAATCGGCAATATTTTTGGAATATTGGAAGTTATGATGATCAAATGGATGGCTGGGGTGGTGAAAATTTAGAAATGTCCTTTAGGGTAGAGCAATTTTTTTTTCTCGATTCAAATTCAAAATTATTCAAAGAAACTGAATTTAATTGTTAATAGGGTAAATTTACTGAAATTTTGTTTTTTTTTCTATTTCAGGTTTGGCAATGCGGAGGAACACTTGAGGCAATTCCTTGCTCTCGAGTTGGTCACATTTTTCGTAATTTCCATCCATACAAATTTCCCAAAAATAAGGATACTCATGGAATAAATACTGCAAGATTAGTTCACGTTTGGATGGACGATTATAAACGTTTATTTTATTTGTATCGCGAGGAATTCAAGGTATTTTAATGAACATTACAAAAAATAAAAATATAGTGAAACATAATTTAAAAAATTTTTGTTTTTTTGTTTTTGAAAGGACAATTTAGCAGTCATTGGAAATATTAAGAATCGAATTAATTTACGAAAACAACTCAAGTGCAAAAGTTTTAAATGGTATCTCGAAAATGTCTATCCAGAAAAATCAATTCCAGACGAAAATGTTATTGCCTATGGGAGATTAAAAGTGAAAAATAGAAATTTGTGCCTGGATAATTTACAACGTGAAAATGATGATAATTCCTATGATTTAGGAATGTATGGATGTCATGCAAAAATTTATCCCAGTCAGGTATATTAATTATATAAATAAAAAAGAAATTACAAATATATATATATATAATAAATAGTTATTTTATTAAAATGTTTTTTTATTTAATTTTGAAGCTTTTCTCATTGAACAACGATGGAGAATTAAAACAAGATGAGATTTGTGCGTCGATCAATGAAGATTTTATGAGAAATAAAACTTCAAAAATATTAATGAAACGTTGCTCAAAAAGTGAAGGCAGTAGTGATTGGATGTTATCAGAGGTTTGTTATTTTTAATAACTTTTTTTTCCCCTCGTCAATTTTATTGTTTTTTATACTCGAAATAAACATTCTTTTTAATTGAAATTACTTTTTTTTTAAAAAATATAAAATTGTTTTTAAATATAAACTTTTTCAAAAATTACATTTTTTTTCTCTCCCAGGAAGGAAAAATTATTCATGTAGGAACTGGACTTTGTCTTGATGCGTCTGGTGTTCAAGCAGAACAAGATGTTTTTGCATCGGAATGCTCTGATAAAAGGGACCAATTTTGGGAATTTGATTTTTATGGTGATCATCCAATTCCTAGGTAATAATAGTTTTTCTCTTGTTGTTGCTCAGGAATTGTCGTAAAAAAAAACAAATGTTGGCAATCATTTGTAGTTGTTGAAAAAAAATTTATTTTTTTATGTCTCCTACGATTGCCCTCGATAATTATTCCAGATTTTTATTAAAAATATTAATTTTTTTAAACTAAATATTTTCAAACTTATAATTTTAAAATACCAAATATCTAAGATATTTTTATTTAATTCTCAAAAAATAGTAAAATATTTTTGATATTTAAGTATTTAAATATTAAAATAATAATTTTTGTATTTTAAATATTTTAGTATTTTTAAATACTGTCATTGAAATTAATTTTTTGATGAATTATTAAAAATGTTAAAATATTTAAAATATTCTATATATATATATATTTTTTAAACATTTTTATATTGTTCATTTTTATTTCGATATTTTTTATTTTTTGTTAGAACTAATTTTAGTCAAGTTTATGGACTGATTAACTGAAATCAAACTTTTATACCTTTTTTTTAATAATTATATTGAATATAAGTTTTATAAGTAGCAAGCGAAGCGTAAAAAATTCTCTATTTCTAGTCTACGATCAAAGCTTCCAGTGTTGAAAAAAAAAATTCGAATTTAATTCTTTTTTTTATTACATGATACAAAATGTGATGACACGAAAAATTGTCTTCCAATATTTACAATTTTATAGAAATTTATTAGGAAATAACGAACAAAAATCTATTGAGTAATTTTAATAGAAACGAAATTATTAGGTTATTGAGTAATTTCATAAAAAAAAAGAAAATTAGGAAAATTGTAAGAAAATGCTTTTAAAAAATGAATTTGTAGAACTGTTGTTTTTTGTTTGTTCAAATCAACATTGTAAAAAAGCATATCTTACATTTGCTGCTTGTTATACAATTTTTATTTCATTAAGTTTTTATATTTTTTATTGAAATAATTTCCAAAACTTAAGAAATAATAATATTAATGTTAATATCGTATTTTTCTCTTGGACATAATTATAAGTGTTAAGCAATTCAATGTAGTTTATTAAAAATAGTTTTAAGATATTTCATTTTCAATGCTCAATTTATAAAAAGATTTTATTTTTTATAATGAAAAAATTAGAATTTTTTTTTTTGTATTAGTGTAAAATTTGAAACTTTTTTTATAAATTTTATAATTAATCACAGTAAGAATTCGCCATTTAATCTACGTTTTCCATTGGTATAAGTAATTTTTTTTTTTAAATAGAAATGATTAGTTTGTTAAAAAAAAAGTAATATAAAATATTACTAACATGATCAATAAGTTTTAAACTGCAATGAAATTTCAAAATTGCCAATTAATACTTTAATTTTGATAATATAATCTACAGTAGAATATCCGTCCTTAATAATATTAAAAATCTCAAATATTATTATAAATATTGTTTTGTTATTCACTTATTTTTGTTTACAAAAAAGAACAAAATAAAATTAATTTTAAACTACATTTTTGTATTCTTAATTTAAAAATGTCTCTTAATTGAAAATTTGTTTTTACCAAGTTTTTAAAAAAATATTTCTAGAGAATAAAAAACTTGTTTTTTTTTTGTTTTTTAAATAAAAATTATTAAATTTTATTTACATGGAAAAATTGAGTTAATGAAATAAATATATCGTGAAAAATTATAATAATGTGTCTTCTGATCTAATATATTCTCCAATGTCAGCTTGATGGAAACAAATTGTTGACATTGGATCTGCATTTTTACAATCGGCTGTACTTTTTGACGCAACACCAAAGCCCTAAAGAAAAAATTTTAATTTCAATAAATATTATTAAATATAAAAATAAAGAAATTTTTTAAAAATTTTATTTTATTAATAATAAAAAAAAAAATTTAATATACTCACAAGTGGTAAATCGTGCATTGAATAAACAACAACTCCCTGATATTGAGAGGTTCCCTCAGTTATTCTTCCTAATCCAGATTTTGTCACATGGTGTCCATATAAAAATTGTTGTTCGGCTGATGATTTCAGCCAAATTTTATACTAAAAATAATATTGATAAAATTTAATTAAACATTTTTTAAAAAACCAATTTTATTAAATTTCAGTACAGAATCAAGAAATTTATACTTTTAATAAGTCTCAATATCAAAAACTCTTGGAATAATAATGTTTTTTTAAAAGTACAAAATTAAGTCCCGAACATCCAACTTTTGATTATTAATTTAATACAAAAAAAAAAATTAAGCCATAATATTATGACTAAGAAAATTTACAATTTTAACATTTTTTTAAAATTAGATTTTTTTTAAATTTCATCGCAACAACTCTCAAACGAAATTTGATCCTAATATAAAAAATAAAAATCTAATCTTACCTGAGCATAAGGGGCTAAATAATGAAGTGCTGTTATATGTAATCTAAATTTTCCTGATTTAGTGAATTTTCCAAAACACGTTCCAATGCTCATTAAATGATCAGGTCCCATTGTACTTGCAATACCCAAAATTTTTTCCGACATATAATAGACACGATCTTTTTTTTCACGAAAACAATAAATTCCATCTGGACGATCAATTAAATGCTTTACATTGTCACCTATACTGAAATTTTTATTGTCATGAAATTATAATAATAATTCATATAAAAAGTTCTCAATTATTTTAACAAATTTAACATAATTAATATTAATTTTATTAACATAGTAGAAGTAATTTACAAAAAAAAAAAAAAAAAAAGAAAAACGAGTGTAAAAATTATTAAACACAGTTGAACTAATATTAATTATATTATTTTTAAATTATATTGAAAAGTAGAAAAAAAATTATTACAAAAATACAATTTTTCAAATATTATCATTGTAAGTAATATTTCGGTACAATAATGGAAATAAAAATTAGACATTAAAATATCGCAAACTGTGATTTATTTAAAAAATGACAATCTAAATTCTCAATAAAAACACGTGGTCTGTTTAAATATACTTAAACCTAACCTTAAATACAAAATTATTAAAAAAAAAATTGGAAAAACTGTTTTAAAAATTACTTACTACTTTGTTAATTTTTCGAACAATAATTTTGTTCTTTCTTCGGATAAACGTTTCATTGTATATTTTTCGTCGTGTGTTTAAATAATTATTAAAATTAATAATATGTATTGCAAATAACAACAAATGATGTCTGTTGCCTTATTTCCAAAATCTGTCAAAACAATGCGCATGCGCCACGTGGATGGCAAGGATGGGAAAAAAATTGAGGAGAAAAAATTACATTTGAACCCCTTTTCTTTCAACAATTTTTTTGGAATTTCTGAACTGAGTTGCAGACTTTTGTCTCAAAATTTGTTCCTATCTATGACATTTATATTTAATATTAGTATAGCCGGTAAAGTAGATTAAGAAATGTATGTAATTTAAAATCTACATTATCGGCTATACTAATATTAAATATAAATGTCATAGATAGGAAACTCATTCAGCTACAAATTTTCGCACTTTTATAATTCGACGACAAACGATTCGGACACGTGACAATTATGTAGCGCGAAAATTCGATTAAACACAGTAAATTGTAGAACGTAAATTTTAATATATGAGTGAGAAAAAAATAGAAGATATTTCTATCTTTTTCTCTCACATTCTTACGTCTTACGAATTACTACCGAGATCCAAAGTGTGTGTGTGAATGTATTCTTATTTTAACCTACCCAACTCTGATTATGTGTGAAACAGTCAAAAAGCAAAGCTTTTCTGCTCCGTTCCGTTGTGATTAAATTATTGATTAATTTATATTTACAAGAATATATTTAAGAAAAACGTTGTTTTTTCAAATAAATTGTTTAATTTATCCTAATATTAATCAAACTAAAATGTAATTTTTTTAAAAAAATCTGTTAAATGCTGCTATAAAATAATTATTTCTGAAAAAAGGTAAGTGTATAATTTCGTTAAAGTATATAGCATTTTTCACAGTTTTTTTTTTCAATTTGTGGAAGATAAATATATTACAAAATGATTTTAAAAAATAGAAATTAACAAACTAACACTGCATTTAATTTGAAATTAATAGTTTAAAAATAATTATATAACTATAATCTTATTAAACTAATCCTATTTTTTTAGACACATTTGCCGACTATTAAAAATAAGAAAATAATTGCATTAATTCGAAGTGTGAAAAAAAAAATAATAAATAAACATGGGTGACATAAAATCATTCCTTCATCAGTGGTGTATCAAAAATGGCAAAGAACCTCAATTTGATGTTCGTCCTACAGGTAAATAAGACAATGCATATTTTTTTATTACCAAATAAAAATTGTTTTCATAAATAAAAAAATTCTATTTACTAAAATAAAGCAAACATTTGCAAAGTTTTAAGTAAATAAAAAAAAATCTTATTTAAAAGAATAAAATTTTTTTAAATTTTAGAATCAATCCATTATTTTTTGACTGAAGTTTTATTTATTTATTTAATTTGAAAAAAATAAATTTTCCTCTGGAAGTGATCACTTATTTCGATAATTTATTACTTTTTTCACTTCCCTCATTATTAAATTAATTTGCGGATGTAATATTTAAAAAATGATTAAATTTACAATGTAAAAATATTTATTTAAATTCAGTAATGCTTAAAAATAATTTATTAGTTACAAAAATTTGTTTAAAATATTTATAAACTTATAGTAATTTAGCTCTATATGAAATATTAATTATTTTCAAAAATTTAAATTAGATGTTTTGTGCAATTTGTTCAAAAATTTTCATATATTCAAATAAATTACAAATTTGTAATTGAAAATCGTCTAATATTTAATTTTTGACAAAAACTTTAACTGCAAATATTAAGTATTTCAATATTCAATGTATTTTAAAAAATTTAAACTAAAATTTTTCTACAAATTAATCCATGGAAAAAAATAAAATCTCAAAATGAGAATATTCCGTTCAAAAATTAATTTTACATTTTACTTTTTAAATTTATTATGAATATTCATAAAAAAATACGATTTTTTTTTCTTTATTTGAGAATATTGTTATTAAAAGATAACTTTAAATCATTTATTTTTGAATAAAATTCTTCTTTTGAGTTTAAGATTTTTTTCTAAATTGAAATTATTCCTCTAAAAAATAATTTTTTTATAATAAATTTTTTTTTAACTTATCTTTTGTTTTTTATGTATAAAAAAATGCTTATAAAGTGACTTCAGGAAAAATGGAGATAGAATTAAGAAAAATTTTGAAATAATTCCTCTCAAATGATAGAAGAGGAAAATCCTCTTAACTAGACAGGAATAAATTAGAAAAAGTTACTGCATAAAATTACTCTTTTAATTAGAACATGTTTTTTGGTTTTATTCTTAAAAATTTGTAAACACTCTTCAGCAATTAAATTTTTTTTTTATGTAATCTTCTTTGTCTAATCAATTATTTTTAATAATTTTAATAAAAGGTTTTTAAAAATTTACATATTTAAAAAATTGTTAAATAAAAAAATTCACAAAACTTTATAAAGCTGAAGTACGCAACGTTTATGATAAACGATTTTTAAAGAAATAATTTTTTAAAATGAAAAAAATTCTACAATTTTTTGCCTAAAAAATGTTTCTTGTAGTTTTTATTAACCAACAAATTATAAAAAAAAAATATTTTTTTAGGTAAACAATTTTATAATTTTCCTTATTAAATAAAAATTGATTTCTAATCGTTGATCATAAACGTTGCATACTTCAGCATCGTAAAACTTTAATTATTTTCTAAAATTTGTTTAAAAATAAAATACAAAAATTTTGAATTCAAATTTACAAAATAATCCAATATAAAATCTCTTGAAATTCAATTATTTCTTAAATATCTAAAATTCACTTTTTTAAAATTCCATTGTTTTTGTAAATTATTTATTTATTTTTTTTAGTATAATAAAGAAAGTTTCAAAATAAAAATATTTATTTACTTATAATATAATTAAAATTCATCATTTCTATAAATTGAAATTGAAGAAAATATACTTATAGCAAATTTCAATATCAAATATAAAACACTCTTTGAATAATATTTTTATAAAATAATTTGACCAAAATAAATTGCACGTGTGTCAAAATGGTGGTTTACGATTTATCAGATTAAAAAAAAAGTAGCCCGCACATAATTTTAGATAAAATTGAATTTATTCTAACATAATTTTTAATAAATTTAGTTTAAAAAAATCAATTATTATAGGTCCAAAACATCGACAAAGATTTCTTTGTGAATTACGTGTAACCGGATGTGATTATGTAGCTGCGGGTAATTCGACAAATAAAAAAGATGCACAGGGTAATGCGTCACGTGATTTTGTCAGTTATCTCGTGCGAAATGGATTTGTTAATCAGAAAGATGTTCCTGGTGATATTGGACCAGTAACACAAATGAAAAATATTAAAGATGAAATTAATAATAGTGGACCTCAACTTCCAATAAAATCAGTTTTTCAAGATGGCATGGGTCCAAATGATATTGGACAAGCTTATAGGCCATACAATGAGGGTGGACAAAGTAATTACACTTATCGTGATCGAATGGCTGATCAAATAAAAGTCGAAGACGCTGAGGATGTTGATGTAAATTCTGGTATTCATGGCAATTGGACAATGGACAATGCCAAATCAAAACTCCATCAATTTATGCAGACAAATAAAATTAACGCTGATTATAAATATACACCGGTTGGTCCCGACCATACAAAGTATGAATTTATGAATACATATTATATATATATTTATAGCTAATAATAATTATTTTATTATCGACAATCGGAGTAAGTTGGAGAAATAATACACGATTTTTTCATTTTCTCTTTTTAGTGAAATTCCAAATTCTTTTAGAAAAAAAAAAAAATTTAACTATTCAAATAATAGATTTTCACCTATTATGCGAGAAAAATATTTTTTTTTGTCGCAGCTATTCAAACTTAATTTATAATTAACTTAATTTATTCTCATATATTCCCGTAATTGGGATAAGTTTTAAAAATAAATTTATTTTAATTAAAAATTAATTCTTTGGCATATAAAATTTTTTTATTAAATACTGTTGTGAAAAAATAATTGATAAAGAAATAGTAATATTTAACATTTTAGTTTTAATTACTCCAAATTAAAATAAAGTGAATTAAAAAAAAAAAATTTATAAATTTACCCGATCGACGATATTTGAATTTCAGATTTAATATTTGTGGAATTATTAAGACGAAATTACCTTTTGACTGATTTATTCAACTTGAGGCAATTATTTTTTTGCGCTTTTAGAAACAAAGAAAAAATGTAAAAATTATTTACTTATCATTCATTGTTATTAATAAATACAAAGTGTCTAACAATCAGGAAAAATATGTAGAGTCAAGGAAAAGTGAATATTTTCTTTTTCTTCTAAAGAAGTCAGTAAAATTTTTTTTTAATGTAGAAAATTTAATTTTTAATTCGTTAGACACAATAATAGTAATAATTTACGAAAAGATATTTTTTACAAAAGTGAAAAATCAAATTAATTTTATTGAAAATATTAAAAGAAACAAAAAAAACTATTTCTTTTAATAATAAACAATAAGAGAAGAAATATAGTCTACAGTGTACCTTTAAAAGAATTAAAATTTAAGACTATTTTTCCTCTCAAACTGAAAATTAATCAATTTCAAATGCAATTTAAAATATTTTAAGGTGAGCTCAAAGTCGTGTCAATTTTTCCAGAGAAGCTCCATGTAAAAATCGAATCGACTTTGATCTGCCCTTAATGTAAAGATTGTTGTTTATTATCAGTATTTATAAGTCAAAAGCTACTTTTGTCTTTCAATTCTTCTATTAAATAAGAATTGATAGTAAACTTTTTATTTTTTAAATTATTATTTATTGTTATTTTTATTACTATTTTTATTTCCATTGTTTATTATTATTATTATTATTATTATTATTATTATTAGTAGTATTATTATTGTTGTGTCACAATTGAGAACTCATTTTGAAGTTAAATTAAAACGAGCTCTCTTTATTTGTGAAAATTTTTTTGAATTTTAACGAGACCATCATGGAGTACATTATCATGTATTGTACAAAAAAAAAATACTTTAGGGAAAAGAAAAAAATGAAAAATAATTCCCTTGAACGTAATTGCAAAAGAAATTGTAACCAAATTTTTTATTGAAACAATTCAATAATAATTTTGGTATTGTCACTTACAGAAATATGGACAATGTACTCCAATATGGTTTCGGATAACTTTTAGTGGTGAGTTTTATTGTTTTTATATTTGTATATATATAAATATAAAAGGGGAGAAAGAGAATTTTAATTTATTCAATTAATTTGTTATATAATAAAAATTCTGTTATTAAATTTTTTTTTTAATATCATTATTTACAGGAGTTTTATGGCTGAAATGAAAATTTACGTGGATCAACTGAGAAGAAGTAAGAAAATAATTATTATTACAGTTGGAAAATAATTTAATTTCAGGCTATAAAATACAGAAACATTTCTTTTAAATCATGATCATTTATTTATTTAATTTAAATAAAATTACTTTTTTAAAATGTTATTTAAAGAAATTTAATTAAATTGTAAATATAAAAAATTCAATCAAATTTGTATATTAATTTTTTTTTAAATTATTTTTCAGTGATTATTGGCCGTGAAACTGCGTCCAATAAACAAACGGCTTCGAAAAGTTGTGCATTATCAATTATTCGACAATTGTATCATCTTGGTGTTATTGAAGCATTCAGTGGGACATTGAAAAAAAATAAGGAAGTCGATCAATTACAAGCATATCCGGTAAAAATAAGTGAAGAACTCGAGCATGAGATTCATAATGTTTTGGATGGATTGCAAATAAGACCAATTAATATTCATCAACCACCTGTAAGTTAATTACAAATTTTTATTCAGTTAAAAAATTTAATTCTATTAGATAAATAAATAATTATTTTATAAAGTAAATAAAAAAAAGAAATTTAATATCAAAATGATATTTCAAATTCTAATTGACGAAGATTACTTATTAAAAATTTAATATTATCTACAAACATTAATTTCATTAATTTTTCAATAAGAATAATTTTAAAAATTTATTTTATACCATTTTTAGAATATTATTTGTTATCTATTTAGAAAATTTATTTTTTGAATAAATTACGAAGCTGAAGTACGCAACGTTTATGATAAACGAGTTTTTTAAAGAAATAATTTTTTAAAATGAAAAATTCTATAATTTTTTACCTAAAAACTATTTCTTGTAGTTTTCATTAATCAACAAATTATAAAAAAAATATTTTTTAGGCAAAAAATTATAGAATTTTTTATTTAAAAAAATTATTTCTTTAAAAATTGTTTATCATAAACGTTGCGTACTTCAGCTTCGTAATAAATTGAAATATTTAAAAGTCTGTACAAATTGATTGCGTTCATAATAACGAAAAAATCGTAGAAAAAGAAACTTCTACCTACTGTTTTCTATTTTTAGAAAAATAATAATTTTGCACTAATTAAAATCTTTTAATTCATAATAATCATTTTTGATATCCCTATAATTCATTTTTGATAAAATTATTTAAAATTACATATAATATTTACCATGGAATTTGAATTTGGTTAATAATTTTTCAAAATAGTCTAATTTACTTATATTAATTGTTTATTGTATAAAAAAAGAACAGAATATTAAATGAAAAATAATATTTAAATTTACCTGTAAAATTTATTTATTTATTTATTTACACGGGCAATACCGGAATAAAATGTCCAAATTTTTTTAGAAAATTTTTAAATAGATTTTTATTAAATTCTATTTTTTGCAAGAAAATTTCATAAAAAAAAACAAAAAAAAAGAACTTTAAAATACACTATTAATTATTGATGGATAAATTAAAAAAATTAAACCTTTAAAATAGGACATTTAGTGACGCATGATTTTTGAAATTTAATAATTTCAATTATTACTCTCCTGAAATTCAATTATTTTTAATGATTTTTATAATATTCTTCGAAAATTTAACTATCTGAAATTATTTTTTACTTAAAAATTGTTTGAAATTATTTTATTTTTGTCTGTAATTTGTAATAAAATTTTTAATAACATAAATCATTAAAAATTTGTTATTAAAAATCTAAATTATAAATCTTTGAAAATTCAATTATCCTTTAAAAAATGTTATCTATAAAATTATTTGATAAATTATTTTTAGTACAATTAAATTTTTTTATTGTCTGAAAATTAATAAAATCTTTTTTGAAATTCAAATTTTTTTTTTTAAATTTCAACTTTAACTCTGTAAAACTTAATTAGGTATATAGTATATAGTATTATTTAAGTATATATTATTAAGTATTTTGTCCTGATCAACAACTTTTCCATTTTTGCTAAATTAATTAAATATTGCCTGAAAATTTTTGACCATCAAAACTAAAAACTATGATAAAATTTTTAATTAGAATAAATTGCTTTAATCAGACTTCAAAATATTATAAAAATGGAACTTTAAGAATTTTTTTTTTTTTTAGAAATTTGTCCTAATTAAATAAAATTTTGAAAATTTGTCTTACAATTAGTCCGATCTTGAAATATTCGAAATAAATTTTTTTGATAATATTTTATAATTTTGATTAACCAATATTAAATTTTGTTAATATAAAAAAAAATCAATTATTTCGACTTTTTTAGGGTTCCGTACTCGGTTCGGAACCCTATTAATATCGGTTTTTTTGAAATCGTGTACCCCCCCCCCTAGCGGCCACATAAATTTATCTGGAGGGCTGAAAATTAGTACACATATGTATTTTCGCGTGTAGATTACAGGAAAATTATAGCGAACTTGATTGGAATTGATTAACATAGCGTTGTCAAGGAAAAACCATGAATTTTTACGAAAAATACCTAAAAATGAGTATGTACCCCCCCCCCCTAGCGGCCACATCTTTTGACATAAAGAGCTCAAATTTGACACACTTACGTATTTTTACGTGAAAATTACAGGAAAATTATAGCGAACTTGATTCGGATCAATTTACATAGCGTTGTCAAGGAAAAATCAAAAATTTCGAAAAAAATAATTTATTCTCCCTAGCGCACACAATATTCAACCCAGACAGATCATATTTAGTATACAAATGTATTTTTACGGGAAAAATACAGGGGAAAAAAAGCGGTCACGATTAGAGTTGATGATTAACTTTTTATCAAGTTTTTCAAGAAAAAATGACAATTTTAGGAAAAAAATGTATTTTTCCACCAAAAACGAACAAAATTTTATTTAAAGGAAATTAAATTTATATATTTTAACGTATTTTTACGTGTAGATTACAAAAAAAATATAGCGAGCATGATTGGAGTTGATTATCATAGCGTTGTCAAGGAAAAACCATGAATTTTTACGAAAAATACCTAAAAATGAGTATGTACCCCCCCCCCTAGCGGCCACATCTTACCTGACATAAAGAGCTCAAATTTGACACACTTACGTATTTTTACGTGAAAATTACAGGAAAATTATAGCGAACTTGATTCGGATTAATTTACATAGCGTTGTCAAGGAAAAATCAAAAATTTCGAAAAAAATGATTTATTCTCCCTAGCGCACACAATATTCAATCCAGACTGTTCATACTTGCTGTAAAACTCAATTTTTGCGTGAAAAATACAGGGAAAAAATGTAAGCGCGATTGGAGTTGATGATCAATTTTTATCAAATTTTTGAAGAAAAATGATAAATTTCAGAAAAAATGTATTTTTCCGCAAAAAACGAAAAAAGTTTTTCTACAGTGATTCAAATTTATATATTTTGACGTATTTTTACGTGTAGATTACAAAAAAAATATAGCGAGGATGATTGGAGTTGATTTTTCTGGAATTAATAAACAAATTTTATTTTTTAGATAACTTTCGATTTTTCCTTGACAAGCAGCTACTAGCCTTATATCAATATCTTAAGTTTTATCTCTTTTTGACTTAGAAAGATAAAATTTAATATTCAATATATTTTTAAAATGTAAATACAATAAAAATATTGCGAGTTGAAATAAAATTATGTTTCTTATATTTTTTTAGTAAAATATTTTTTAAAAAATAAAATCGGAAAAGTGCGAGTTACACTCGCACTGAAATCGAGGGTTCCGTACTCGAAGCGAACTTATTTGGTATAAAAACAAATGTTTAAAAAATATGTGTTGTATGACAACTAATATAAGTGATACAAAAAGGAACAATTTTGTAAAATTCAAGAAAATTGTTCCTCTTCGTATCACTTATATTAGTTGTCATACAACACATATTTTTTAAACATTTGTTTATATACCAAATAAGTTCGCTTCGAGTACGGAACCCTCGATTTCAGTGCGAGTGTAACTCGCACTTGTCCGATTTTATTTGGAATATAAATCGACTTTTTTTATGCTTTAATTTAGATCGAAGGCCTGTGCAAAATAAGATTTTTTTAGTCCCAATTATAAAAGAAAAAAAAAAATTTTAATTTGATGCTTTTTTCTTTTTTTTCCCCTTGTAGTTGATAAAAAAAGAAGTAAACGCCGATAAAACAGGTGGAATATCACTGGTGACTGATCATGTATTAGATGATTTTATATCAAGTATTCCACAACCAGCTGGCGTTGTTAGTTGGTCGCCACCACAACAAAATTGGAATCCCTGGACAGGTTGTAATATTGATGAGGGTCCATTGTCAACAATGTCATTGGATCAAATGTCCGACGATATGATGAATGTCGAAAGAGATAGAATGCGTGAAGATTCATCATTACAACAAAGTATTAAGGAAAGATCAAAATTGCCCGTTTTTGCGAAAAAAAATGAAATTATGACAGCAATTAATGATAATCCAATAATAATAATTAGAGGCAACACTGGTTGTGGTAAGACAACGCAAGTTTGTCAATTTATACTCGATGATTATATTATGTCTGGTCAGGGTGCATATTGTTCGGTTGTTATTACACAGCCAAGAAGAATTTCAGCTGTGTCAGTTGCCGATCGTGTTGCATCAGAACGACATGAATCATTGGGTCAATCAATTGGTTATTCAGTGAGATTTGAATCATGTTTACCGCGACCATACGCGAGTGTTATGTTTTGTACTGTTGGTGTACTTTTACGTAAATTAGAAGGTGGGCTACGTGGTGTTTCACATGTTATTGTCGATGAAATTCATGAGCGCGATGTTAATTCCGATTTTATAATGGTCGTATTACGCGATATGATACATCGTTATCCGGATTTGAGAATAATTCTTATGTCAGCGACAATTGACACATCATTATTTAGTCAATATTTTAATAATTGTCCAGTTATTGAAATACCCGGTAGAGCATTTGCTGTAGAACAATATTTTTTAGAGGATTGCATTGAAATGACACAATTTGTACCTAGTGAGAGTTCAAAGAAAAGAAAAAATCGTGATCGCGATGAAGAATCAACAGCTGATGGTGAACCAGAGGAAAATTATAATAAAATAATTGATTCAAATTATTCGCCAAGTACAAAAAATTCAATGGCACAATTGCCGGAGAAAGAAATTAGTTTTGAATTAATTGAGGGTATATTGAATTTAATTAAAGAGAAAAATATACCTGGCGCTGTATTAATATTTTTACCCGGTTGGAATCTTATTTTTGCAATGATGAAACATTTGCAGCAACATTCAATTTATGGAAGTTCACGATATTGTATTATTCCATTGCATTCGCAATTGCCGCGTGAAGATCAACGTAAAGTATTTGATCCAGTACCAACGAATGTGACGAAAATTATACTTTCAACAAATATTGCCGAGACATCAGTGACAATTAATGATGTTGTTTATGTCATTGATTCGTGTAAAGCGAAAATGAAACTATTTACGTCGCACAATAATATGACAAATTATGCGACCGTTTGGGCGAGTAAAACAAATCTTGAACAACGTAAAGGTCGCGCTGGTCGCGTTAGACCGGGCTTTTGTTTTCATCTTTGTTCACGAGCTCGATATGAGAAATTAGATGAACATATGACACCGGAAATGTTTAGAACTCCATTACATGAATTGTCATTGAGTATTAAACTATTGAGATTGGGAAGTATTGGTCAATTTCTTTCCAAGGCAATTGAACCACCTCCAATTGATGCTGTCATTGAAGCTGAAGTTATGCTCAGAGGTAATTAATAAATTTATTCACATTTTTGTTTCCTTATTTGATAGCAAAAACGCGTTATAGGAATATTCAGAGCAAAAATTAATTATGTTTCATAGAAAAAAAAGTATAATAATTAATCACAAAAGAAAACAAATCTTTTTTTCTCCCACGTGCAAGAAATTAGTAATGTCATTTTATTTTTTCAAAAAAAAAATAATTTTTATGCTAATTTGTGTTGCAGAAAATTTTTTGAAAAAATAACAAATAATAAATAACAAAAATTCTTACAATTTTCAAAATCTTCAATAATAAATTGTTCAAAATAATTCAAATTTAAATACAAAAAGTGATTTTTTTAATCCACAAATATTTATAAATTATTATTTGTTTTAAAAAAAATGTTTTGCTAGTCTACCTCAATGAGAAACAATAATTTATGAAAAATTGAAAATTTTTCACAATAATTCAAATTTAAATTCAAAAAATTATTTTTTAACCCAGACATTCAAAAATTATTATTTTTCAATAACAAATTTTTTGCTGAAATGTGCTCGCCTAGTACAAGAAAAATAAAGTGTAAGATTTTCGTTAATTTCAAAATTTTTTTTAAAAAAAGTTAAATTTTAAAATCAAAAAATAGATTTTCTTTAATCAAAAAAATTAAAACTCATTTAAAAAAAAAAATTGTGCCTAATTGTGCTTATCCAGAACAAAAAGAAACATTTAAAACATTGACGAACAATTAAAATTGTTTGAAAATAATTCAATTTTTTAATTCAAAATTAAGTTTTTTTAAATTTGTAAATATTTAAAAATTATTTTTCAAAAATAAATTTTATGCTGAATTATTCTCGAATTGAAAAATTCAGCACAAAATTTGTTTTTGAATAATAATTTTTAAATATTTCTGTGTTAAAAAATCGTTTTTTGAATTTAAATTTGAATTCTTTTAAATAATTTAATATTAAAGAATTTGAAAATTTAAACTCATTTTTGCGTCCAATAAAATTTTATCTCATTTTTGCTACAAAAAAAATTTTGATTTTATTTTTAAATATTGCGCGATTTCTTTTTGCTTTGAATATTTTTTTTTAAACACATTTTTACTATAATAATTTCTCAATTATTATTTTTAAAATAATTTTTTCATTAAATTTTCAGAAATGAAATGTTTGGATAAAAATGATGAATTAACACCATTGGGAAAAATATTGGCACGTTTGCCAATTGAACCTCGATTAGGTAAAATGATGATTCTAGGATGTATGTTTCGTGTTGGAGATTCTTTGTCAACAATGGCTGCTAATAGTACAACATTTCCCGAAGTCTATAATATGGGTCCAGATTCAAAAAGATTGACTTATCAGCAAAAAGCATTTGCCGGAGCAAGATACAGCGATCATGTTGCAATGTTACATGCTTTTCAATCTTGGGAGGAAGCCCGATCAAATGGTGAATTAGCGGAGCAACGATTTTGTGAAAGAAAAAATTTAAGTTTACCAACATTGAGAATTACCTGGGAAGCTAAGGTATAAATTCCCAATTGGAGAATTTTTAATATTTTTTTTTTTTAATATTTGATTTTTATTAAAATTGTATTTATTTATTTGTAGAATCAATTGCAAGCTCTATTGACAAGTGCAGGATTCCCGGAGGAAACTTTATGTCCAACTCCATTGAATTATCAAGCAGGAGCTGACGTTCGACTCGATACTATTACTGCATTACTTTGTATGGGACTTTATCCAAATGTTTGCTATCATAAGGAAAAAAGAAAAGTGTTAACAACCGAGTCGAAAGCGGCATTAATTCACAAAACATCGGTGAATTGCAGCAATTTTGAGCAAACATTTCCATTCCCGTTCTTCGTTTTCGGCGAAAAGGTAATTAATTATTTATTTATTTAGTAAATATAAAGCCATTGAATTTCTTTTTCAACGAATTTATACTAAACAACATTTTTTGATGCCAAACTTTTATTTGGCAGAATTTTTATTTCACAGAATTTTATTTAAATCTTTTATTTAAAAGAATTTTAATTAAATCGAATTTTAATTTAACATAATTCTCATTCAACGAAATTTTAAATGATATACGAATTTTTAAATGTTAAAATTCTAATTTACTCAATCTTCATTTTTTTTAAATTTTTATTTGCAAAAATTCTTATTTACATATTAATTTAAAAAAAAATAAAATATTCGTTAAATTATAATTCTTTTGAATAAAATTTTTTTTTGTTAATTTAAAGAAATTATTTTCTTTAACATTTTTTTCTTTGTTTTAAAGGACAAATTGTTTTATATAAAAAAAAAAATAGAAAGAAAAGAAGATATTTAGAAAAATAATTATTTCGTTTTAGATACGAACCAGAGCCGTGTCATGTAAACAAATGACAATGGTTTCTCCAATTCATTTATTATTATTTGGCTCGAGAAAAGTTGAATATATCGATGGTGTTGTGAGATTGGATAATTGGATAAATTTAGATATAAAACCAGAGACAGCGGCAGCAATTGTTGCATTGAGACCGGCTTTAGAGAGTTTAGTTATACGAGCTGCAAAAGAACCGGAAGCTATTCTTGAGCTCAGTCCTTTGGAGGAGAAAGTTTTTTCAGTTATAAGATCACTTTGTGGTATGAATGCGTGTCGTCATAATATGGATCCAATAACTGGCGGTGGATTTCAACGTAGAACACCAATGCGAGGTCATGCTCCAAACTTTTCACCGGACAGTGGTCCAATACCAAAATTAATGCGAGGAGGTGGTGGTGGTGACGGAGCACGTGGAATGGCAAATTCTGGTTTTCGCGGTAATTCTGGAAATGGAGGTGGTTTTCGAGGAAATAATGGAAATGGAGGTTTTAGAGGAAACAGTGGAAATGGAGGATTTAGAGGAAATAGCGGAAGTGGGGGATTTAGAGGAAATAGCGGAAATGGAGGCTTTAGAGGAAATAGTGGCTTTAGAGGCAATAGCGGTTTTCGTGGTAATGGTGGTTTTCAAAATAATTTCTCATCTCGGGGAAATTTCGGAAATCGTGGTGGTGGTGGTGGTTTCAATAGGGGAGGTAGTCGTGGAGGTAGAGGAGGCGGAGGAGGTCGAGGGAGATTTTAATTTTAATAGTAAAATTACATAATTCTGTTTTACATTTATTGTTATGCGAATTCTTTAATTTATCTTCCATACTTTAAAAATTATTAAAGATATCATTAAGGTACACTTTATTCTATACATTAATTTTAATTGTCCACAATAATAATTATTATTATTATTGGGAATCATGGATTTTTGAGGAAGTCATTTTCTAAAATTCATTAGTCTAAATTTTGCAGTGGATCGAATTTCAATTGACACGATTAATTAAAGTAGAATTTCCATTTAGTCGAATTTCTGTACAAAAGGTAGAATTTATATGATCGTATTTCTACTTAACAAAATTTTTATTAATTCTCATACAAAATTCTGTTGGACTAAATGAAAATTCTATTAAATATAAATTATTATTATTTTAATTTTTCACCATTTTCGAATTTTTATTTTTTTTTTAAATTAAAAGTTTTGAAAATCTATGCGAGAGATTTTTAAGAAAGTTCGTATTTAGGACTCAAATGATCCAAGAAAAAAAGTATAACCTCCTTTGATAATTTAAATTTAAGTGAGTCAAAATGGAAGGTGATGTCTTCTCTTAAAAGAAATAAAAAAAAATTCGTTTATATTGAATTTAAAGATGTTACTTTTGTTTAAAAATTCATTTAAATGAAAATGTATATATATATAAAAATTTGTAATTTTAATTAAAAAATACAACAACAAAAAATTGGTATTTGAATACAAATGTATAAGTAATGAAAATTCAATTTAAATACATGGTAAAAATATAAAAATTAAAATAATTATTTTATAAAATTTGTCTTTAAATAGAATTTTTAACTTAGGTTTAAAAAATTTTATTTCACGGAAATTCGAACTATGCAATGAATTTTATGGAATATTCATATTTACCATGAAAATCATTGTCAAAAATTGATAAATAGTATTAAAATTCCATTCTAGAGAAATTATATACGTTTATACATACATTGTAATAATATGCATCGATTTTACTTTATTAGACTATAAATATATATATACAGTAAGAATAGTTAACTAGAAAATTTTTGTTCAATAAATAAATACTCTTACCAGTATGAAAAATGATGATAATTATTATTTTTATTCCTATTATCGAGAATAATTTTTAATTAAACTAACAAGTGGGGTTGGTAAACAAAAATAAAAAAGCTGGCGAACTACTATCAGCTCCGACACCCACTAAAACCCATAACCCTTCTTTTGAAGTCCTTTATCTACTTTATCTTGCTTTGACTTTTGACTTTGAAAACCATATTTATTTATCATTGAAAGTTGTACATTAAAGTTATACAAAAATTTCTTAATTCTAAGATATATATTCAGCGCCTGTTATTTTAAGTAACTTATCTGAATGTTTCTTTATTTTATTAAAGTTTATATATTTAATAATATTTATATATTCTTTGTTTGGGTAAAAAGGTAGAATAATTCAAAAACCCCATTTGAAAACTTTTTATACTTAAAACTAAAACTAAAAAAATGAAACAATGACTTTATCTTGCTTTCGAGAGACGATGCTTAAGTACGCAACGTTTATGATCAACGATTAGAAAACAAATTTTTATTTAATACGGAAAATTACGAAATTGTTTTTACCTAAAAAATTTTTTTTTTTTATATAATTTGTTAATTAAACGATTTTTCAATGTCAAAGCGGAATTAACAGCACACCAAAAAAAGAAACAATTTTTATTTCACTTATTATTTCATGTATACATATATTTTTAAAAAAATCACAGTACAAGTTACAAAGCATCTTTTGTTTTTATTAAAATATAATTATGTAGTTAAGATCGTGAAAAGGTAAAAAAAAGTACTAAAAATAATAATTATATTATTTATTATTTTTGCAATAATGTTTCACTATTACTATCATTTTCTATTATTTCAGTTTTAATAATGTTCATAATATTTTTGCATGTATAAACTCTCTTGACTTTTTCAGGATCAAATGGATGATATCCATCTGTTTCACTATCACTATCTTCTTCTTTAATTTCAGTTTTAATTATGTTTAAAATATTTTTACAGGTATTGTTAGCATAAACTTTTTCTACTTTTGTAGGATCAAATGGATGACAAAGATCTTTTTCATTCAGCCTATAATCAATGGGTATTGCTCGTGAAAGAAGTTTTTGATGTTCGTAAGTTGTATAATCTTCACCATGAAAATGAGTATTACAAATCATCAATCTCCATGTAGTATTCTCTTTTTTTACACCTGTAATTTTAATTAGAGAATTACACAATTACACAATAATATAATAATGATAATTTATCGAATTATTAGTGATTTTTAAATTTTGCTAAATAAAAGAAAAGAATATTTTTTGTTGTATATTAAAATTTTTATTTTCAGCACTAAAAATTATATAATAATACTAATAATAATAATTTTTTATTAGTGAAAAACGAATACTCTTGCTATAAGAAAATCAATATATACAAGTGGAGTTCCATATAAATTAATTAAAATAAACCGTCAGGGAAAAAAAGATATGTAGAACAAAAAAACCGACAAATATTATTAAAGAAAATAACTTTCAAGTTTCTTTTTTTCATGTGTATGAAGTTAACTAAACAACTTAAAAAATTTAAAGTCGCATATAGCTCAAAATTTGCCATTTTTTAATCGCTAATTAGTTGTGAAAAAAAAAATTGTCGCTCTTCAATTTTTTTTTTTTTAGCTGTTTTGTTAACTTCATATGAAGTTAGCGAAGCAGTCACTTCAAAAAGGTTCTAAATACAAAGATAAAAATAAATGACCTTAATAGGAATTTGCCGTTTTTTTGCCGTAATACAATAGACCAATTCATTTCGGGAAAAAAAATTTGAAATTTTATTTTTTCATTTTCTTTTATTTTTCCACAATTCCACAATAAACAGAAATTAAGTTAATTCAACATTTCTAATAAAAAAAAAATGGTTGATTGATGGATTTTACCATTTTATAAATCATAATAAATTCCATTAATTCAACATTTGTTATAAAAAAATTGGTTGTTTGCTGGATTTTAGCATTTTTCAATAAAAAAATTTATTTAAAATTAGAAAAAAAATTTAAATAAATTAAAAACACTTTTTTCTACTAAATCCGACCTAAGGACAAAATCAGCAATCAAAATAAATTCAATCAATTCAACATTTCTAATTTAAAAAAATGGTTGTTTGCTGGATTTTCATTTCGGAAAAAAAATTTGAAAATTTTTTTTTTCATTTTCTTTTATTTTTCCACAATTCCACAATAAACAGAAATTAAATTAATTCAACATTTCTAATAAAAAAAAAAAAATTGTTGATTGATGGATTTTACCATTTTACAAATCAAAATAAATTCCATTAATTCAACATTTGTTATAAAAAAATTGGTTGTTTGCTGGATTTTACCAATTTTTAAATTTATTTAAAATTTTTAAACAATTATTTTTCTTGAAAAATTTTGAAAAACAGCAAACATTCGTTTTTTTATGAGTAAAGTTGAAGTAATGGAATTTCTTTTGATAGTGGATTTTGTCGTTAGGACAGATTTTGTTCAAAATATGATTTTCAATTAATCTAAAATTTTTTTTTGAAATTTTTCAACGAATTTTTCTATTAAAAATTGGTAAAATCCTGCAAACAACCATTTTTTTAATTATAAATCTTGAATTGAGTGAATTTATTTTGATTGCTGATTTTGTCCTTAGGTCTGATTTAGTAGAAAAAAGTGTTTTTTATTTATTTAAATTTTTTTTCTAATTTTGAATAAATTTTTTTATTAAAAAATGGTAAAATCCAGCAAACAACCAATTTTTTTTATAACAAATGTTGAATTAATAGAATTTATTTTGATTTGTAAAATGGTAAAATCCATCAATCAACCATTTTTTTTTTTTTTATTAGAACTGTTGAATTAATTTAATTTCTGTTTATTGTAGAATTGTGGAAAAATAAAAGAAAATGAAAAAAAAAAATTTCAAATTTTTTTTTTCCGAAATGAATTGGTCTATTGTATTACGGCAAAAAACGGCCAATTCCTATTAAGGTCATTTATTTTTATCTTTGTATTTAGAACCTTTTTGAAGTGACTTCATATGAAGTTAACAAAGCAGCTTATAAAAAAAAATTGAAGAGCGACAAAATTTTTTTTTTCACAACTAATTAGCGACTAAAAAATGGCAAATTTTGAGCTATATGCGACTTTAAATTTTTGAAGTTGTTTAGTTAACTTCATACACATGAAAAAAAGAAACGGGAAAGTTATTTTCTTTAATAATATTTGTCGGTTTTTTTTGTTCTACATGTCTTTTAGGTACAGTCCAAACATTCAATGTAACAATTTTTAAATATAAACGCTGAGAAAAAAAGGCGATTAATATATTGAAAAAAAAGAAATATAATTATTGTCTGTATTGTTGACAAAAAAAATTCAATTCTTTTTTCTTTTTGTACTCTACGAAATTATGTTTTCTAATTACAAAAATTTGTTTACCTTAAAGGAGGTAGATTTTTTTTAATTAAGCTGTTTTAAAAATAAGATTTTATCGAATCTTGTGATTGCAAAAAATCAGTTAAATAATTTTTTTTAACATCAAATTTGAAATAATTATATTTTGGACTTAATATTAATATTAATCCAAATATTAAATATTATATTAAACATTATATTTTGTAATCGTAGTGTAATAAGTGAATTGAAAACAATTTACCAGCAAATACTTAGAATTTTATAGTTTTTGGATTATCAAATTGGCAAATTGTAAAATGAAATAGAAAATAATTTTATTTACCAGAATTTTGACACCATTTTTCATATTTTTTGATGTTAGTTTTCCTATTTGGAAAACAAAATAAAATAATACCTTCGTCACCCCGTCGATTACTACAATTTTTATATGCACAACGATTTAGAGCTTTATTGGGATAATACTTCGGTATCCTTGGTTTCTTTAGTGACATTCTTTTTTATAATTATATAAAGCAAAAAAAAAAATTTAATTTAATTTTTTCCATGAATTTATTATTATTTATTTGTATTGTGATTTTTATTATTTTCTATTTACAGAACATTGACTTTTAATTATATTACTTAGAAACTAAAAAAAGATATTTCGAAGTAAAAAAAACAATATTGATTTTAATAAAATATTAGTTTTGAAACTTTATAATACGTTGTTGTGTTTACATTTTCACATATAAATATGTCAAACGGTGGTCAAACGCGTCAAACCAATAAATTAAAAACACAGCAAGAAGTGAGGTTATATTTCGAGTTTCGCGCTCGCGTTAATCGATATGTCTGAATCTCGAGAAACAGTAATAATCGACACCAATTTAAAATTTTGCTATTTATTTTATTATTATTCTTGAAATTATATTTCTAGATGTAATCTCTTGAAAATGATGGTGGCTACCATTGAAACGTCGAGCAAAATAAAATTCATTATTAAAAAAAAATAAAATTATTTTTTGGAATATTTGGCCTGAACATTTAAACAATTTATATTATTATTATTATTCTTTTTATTCAGACGCATAATTCTTACCGCCACTCAAATTGACAAAGAACCCCGGGAATTTGGGGTCCTGTGAAATTTCTTGCAACTTTGTAATTTTGTAGTTTTTGACCTCCTGACCGAAACATGTTAAAGGCAAAATTCCAAAAAATGGACAAATTTTTTAAAAATTAAGGTTTAAGTTTAAAAAATAGTGTTAAAAGCGAAAAAAATTAAAAAATGAGTAAAACCAAAAGAACTAAATAAAATTTCTTAAAACTCGTTACTCGGGTGTTTTCGGGGTCGCTGATTAAGGCGCACTCACACCTTTTTTGGCTGCCTGCCTGCCTGCAGGTTACCATGGCAACGCACGAGTGTGAGTGAGACAGAAAATTTGAATATTCAAATTTTTAAATTTTCTGTCGCACTCACTCTCATGCGTTGCCATGGTAACCTGCAGGCAGCCAAAAAGGTGTGAGAGCGCCTTTACGAATTCGATATCAATTTTTAAAAATCCAAAATATCGGATCACAAATGGCCGACCAATTTTTTTAAATTTCATCGAATTCACTTGAGTCTTGTTACTCGCGAGGTTTTCGGGGTCGATGATTACGAATTCAACAACGGTTTTTAAAAATCCAAAATACCAGATGCAGTATGGCGGAATTAAAGAATTTTTAAAAATTATTTTTATTCATTTAAAACTTGTTACTTGGCGACTTTTTAAGCCTCGATGAAAATTGACATCGAATACGTAATCATCGACCCCGAAAACCTCCGAGTAACGAGACTCAAGTGAATTTGATGAAATTTAAAAAAATTGGTCGGCCATTTGTGATCCGACATTTTGGATTTCCAAAAATTGATATCGAATTCGTAATCAACGACCACGAAAACACCCGAGGAACGAATTTTAAAAAAGTTTATTTAGTTCTTTTGGTTTTACTCATTTTTTAATTTTTTTTCGCTTTTAACACTATTTTTTAAACTTAAACCTTAATTTTTAAAAAATTTGTCCATTTTTTTAGAATTTTGCTTTTAACATTTTTTATTCAGGAGGTCAAAAACTACAAAATTACAAAGTTGCAAGAAATTTCACCGGCCCCCAAATTCCCATGTATATGGTGTGGAGTTCTTTTTGAGACGCATGAATAAGCACTATAAAACTATTTTTTTAGATAAATAAATAATTGAATTTATCACTCAGTTGTCTTAGTTAAAATATGAAAAACGAATTGAACGATCACTCCGAGTCAGGTTTTTTTTTGGAATTATGTTTTAATAGAACTTTATTCTGTAGAATATTATTTTTGCAAAATAGTGATTTAAAAGAATCTTAATTTTGTAGAAAAAAAATTGTATAGAATCAATGTTGCATAATTTTTATTTAGATGAAAATTAATTAGCTTGAAATTCAATTTGATCGAATCTCAATTTGTGCGAAATGTTGTTTCGTAGAATATTTTAATTTTTCAAATTAGTAATTCAAAAGAATCTTATAATTAAGCTGTTCGAATTTTAATTTTACAGAAAATGTAAGTGGTCGAAAATCAATTTGACAGAATTTATTTTGAATCTATGTTTAAAATTGACCAATCACAATTTTTGTTTTGATAATATTTCTGATTGGTCAAATTTAAAAAACGAGCTAAAATAGTTCTGTGAAATTGATTTTCAAGCATTTGTATATTTTCTGTAAAATTAATATTCGAATAGAAGAATATTCCGTTAAATTAATATTCTTTCTATTCTTCCTTCTGGTTAATTATTAAGATTCTTTCGAATTACTAATATGTAAAATTAATATTCTATACGAAACAGAATTTCGCACAAATTGAGATAATTGATTCTGTAAAATGAAAATTCGAACAAAGGATTATTCTGTAAAATTAAAATTCTGTAAAAATTTTTTTTTTTTTTTGCAATTAAATTACTATTCTGCAAAAAATAATATTCTATAGAATAAAATTCTATTAAAAAATAAAACTAAAAAAATAGTTCATGCGTTCCAAATTTTTGTCCACTTTGGTCCATTGTAGGTCGGAGGATAATGATCCTATCAAATAGTTCCCCATACATTTTTTGTAGAGAATTCTCTTGGAATAAAAGTTTAATATTATTAATTATTTTGTAGTTGTACATAAATAAAATAACGTATTTCATCTAAAATTATTTTTGATTGAAATATGATTAAATCGATGACACACACACACACATATAGAATATAGTTATAATAAATATATGTGTGACGAGGATAAATGAAGAGAAAAGTACCGTAAACTTCAGTGCCGTAGGATTTAATGTCGAAGTGATTATGGCAAATCTATATTGTAATATGCAAATAATTAATAAATTTTTTTTTGGTATATAGTGTAATCAATGATAAAAAGTGAGAATTTGACTGAATTTATAATTTTACATATAAATATGGTTAAAATGCTTAAAATCCTATGGCATTAATTCAGATTAACTAATCATTTGCAATTAAGTTCCGTTTCTAATGGAATGCGCCAATTATTTTTTTCTTTTTTTTTGAATTGGAGTATTAAAAGCTTTAATAGAATGTGATAATTATAAGCTTTTAAGAATTAATCGTTAAGAGTAAACAGCAATTACTTTCTGTATATATAAAAGCACATTATTGAACATTTTTATTCCTTGTCTTCAAAAAGGTAAATATTTTAAAAGTTGAAATTTTATTTTTATCGAGAGAAAAATTTTGAAACTTTAAAATATTATTGAAAATGTTATGCTTTTTTTTTATTTTTTAATCATGCATCAGTTTTTGAGTCGATTTTTGTTTTATAATACGAAGAAAACATATTTTTTACCACACATATACAAAGTAAAAATTAATCACAACGTCGATTTTTAACAAAGCTGAAGTACGCAACGTTTATGATAAACGATTTTTAAAGAAATAATTTTTTGCCTAAAAAATTTTTTTTGTATAATTTATTGCCTAAAAAATATTTTTTGTATTTTTAATTAATCAACAAATTAAATAAAAAAAATTTTTTAGGCAAAAAATTATTTCTTTAAAAATCGTTTATCATAAACGTTGCGTACTTCAGTTTCGTGATTTTTAATTGTATATTTAGAATTTATTTCAATATTTTTAAACCATTTTTTCAAAAGTTATAAATACAATTAAAGTTAGAAAATTTGTCGAATGATTTTCCGTATAGAGAATAATGAAATTTCAATTCAGTATAAATAATTTAATAATATACTGCAGTAAGTAAAATGTACTATGCGGAGAATTATACAATTATAATAAATCACTTTAAAAAGAATACGAGTGATTCAGAAATGTATTTTTTTATACTCTCATCATATTTAACAGGATTGTAATTGATTTTTAATTGTAATTGCTCTAACGCGCATTACAATTTTTTCAACATGAAGGCAAACGTATTTTTGAAATTTGGTATTTTGCTAGGAGTGTCATTCATACAACTCTCGCATGCGTAAGTAAAAAATGGCATATTTTGAAATATATACAGGCGATTCCACGTGAGATTTACATATGACATTTTAAATTCGGTAAATATATTTTTTTCGATCTTTATAGAAAAAAAGGTTTACGTATTTTTTTATTTTTTTATTTTTTTATAAGTGCTCAAATTTTCGAGTTATGAATTTTTGAAAATCTGATTTTTTCGAGTCTTTTTAAAATACACCTAATTTCAATGACATCTAACTTTAAAAGCATAGAATTTACGAATTATGATACAAATTAAATTTTTTTAAATTTAGGGGCGATTTAAAAAATTTTTTTTTTATTTTTACACTCATGAAAATAAGAGGAAAATTTTGTAATAAGTTTTGGAGTGGACCTGGTGATCCTTTTGTTTATATAATTTGTTTAAAAAAAATTTTTTTTGCTTTTTTTTTATTTTTCGAAATGAAAAGTGTTTTGGGCACTAGGATCTTTTAGTAAACTCATAGAAAAGCAAATTAAAATACATTTTATTTAGAAAAATAAAAAAAAAATGAAAAAAGTAAATTTTTTTTTAAAACAAATTACGTAAACATAAAGATCGAAAAAAAATATATTTACCGAATTTATAATGTCATATGTAAATCTTACGTGGAATCGCCAATATATGTGACGCGATCTGAAGAAAGGGACCTTAGAAACAAAAAAATTATAGGTTACGTTTTGAAATTTTAAAGTAAAAATACCCAAAAACGTTCAACTCGTAATGCAAACTAATGATATTTAGGTCTTCATTACATCCAAAATATTCAATAAAAACTGATTTCAATTTTAAAAAAACAAAAATAAACTTTTAGTTCAAGTAAAACTGTCGTAACCATAACCTATAATTCATTTGCTTCTAAGGTCCCTTTCTTCAGATCGCGTCACAATATATATATAATATATATTAATATATATAAAAATTCTACTATATATGTTTTATTTATATGGATATGATAGGTACTAAAGAATCACTTAGTGTTTTTCCCGGTCTGTCAGACCGATGGAAAAAAGAATTTTTGGAAAAAATGTCCATTGGAAAAATATAATAATTTTGGAAATTTGTCATTGGCACTTTTGACTCTCTACCCTTTATTTTATGTTTTTTTAGAGATTTTAAATTATGTAATTATGTAACTGTCGTATATATTTTTAATTTTTTTTAACATTGAAAAGTGTATTTCATTATTTTATTTATAACCCTTCTAGAAAAAATCAATTAAACACGATTCAGAACGATTGAGTACAAAATTTTTTTAATCGTTTTGAATTGTTTTCAATTGGAGTATATATTTTTTCAATTGATTCGAATTGTTTTCAATCGTGTAAAATAAGTTAAACTTTTTCAATTGTTTTTAATCGGGTGCTATCGGGAGACTGATATACGCACATGCGCAAATAGTTAATTATATAAGAAAAGTGTTGAATCAAACAGGAAAGATGTTTTTCTTATAAGTCTTTTGTAATATATAGTTTGTTCTATTCGTGCGTATGTGTCAAATATTTAAAATCTAAAGTAAAATTTCTAGTGATATGGATAATGTCAATATGTTTACATATCCTATACATGAACAAATTAAACATGACAATCTTTGAGTTGTTAATACATAACCTCAAAAAAATAAAAATAAATAAATGGGTACGTAAAAAAATACATATAAACAGAAATTAAATAAATAATTAGGTACATATAAAAATAAATATAAGAAAAAATTCTATTCCTTGCATTTTAAAATAATTTCAGTTTTTAATTTTTTTTTAAGAACAAAATTTTTAGTTTTTTTAAACTTTATGTGTCCAGCAGCTTTTCAAAAAAATTTAGCAAAAAAATTATTCAGTATAAATTTTGTTCGAAGTTCACCTAAACTCCTTCCAACAACAAAAAACCATAATTTTTCAATTAAATATTTTCAAAAATTGTAATCAAATTCTTTAAAAAGTTCAATTGTTTTCAATTAAATTTTACAAAATTTCAATTATTTAAAAATAATAAGTCAAAACCTTTCAATTCTAACACTTCCAAAATTGAATTACTTCTATTAAATTCTATAATTATTTTATTTATAAAAAATTTTAACTAATACTTTTTGAAAATTTTATCATAAATTTAAAAAAAAAATATTTTTTATTAAAAACTTTGATTGCAACTCTTCGAAATATAAATTTTTTCTAAAAATTTTAAATTAAAATTCTTTACAAACTTATTTTGTGCTAGAAACGGATGTTAAAGCCGTTACATTTGTATAAAGTTTTTCATTCATTAAAATATTTTCAAAATTTTCAATTTAAAATCACCAGAAATTTAATTATTTCTAATGAATCTTATAATTATTGTAGATCTTCCAATGTTCGATTATTTAAAAAAATTCAATATTGACTGAAATTAAAAAAAAATTTAAGTAATTCAATTTAAAACAATACTTGATGTATCTGTCAAAAATTATTTTTTAAACATTTTTTCGATAAATTATAAATGAGAAACATTTCGTCTTGTGCAGTTTCATTCATAGATAAATTAAAAAATAACTTTTAATTAATTTTTGTTAAAATATATGATTTTCTTCTGTGGTGACAAATACATTGATAAATATTTTAATTTTGTAGTTCGGAAAATAATCTTTGAAATAATTATATATTTCTAGACTGTTTAATTAGTTGCATTTTTTAAAATTTTCAAAAACTCCCACCAAGCAATAGTGCATGGAATACAATCTATAGAACACGATTGAAAACGATTGAATATAATAAGAAAGTCAATCGTCTTCAATTGTAAGAACACGATTAAGAAACACGATTGGGGACAATAGAAATTTCTTTCCTATTGTTTTCAATCGTTTTCAATCGATTTTTTCTAGAAGGGAAATAATTGAAGTATTTAGACATGGTATTTACATGTTTACAGAATCACGAATATGTCCAACAATCGAAACAATAATTGCAGGTTATGTTGTCTAACAGAACTAGTTGCGCACGAAGATGCGCAGAAGTTACAAGAATTTACTTAGGACTAACGCACAATAGATACGCGAAAGTCGTTAGGCCAATGCAGAATAAAATCTCTAATTGTAAATCTTAAACTTTTACATGAGAGAGAAAAGAATAGAAATATATTTTGTCCTTTTCTCTCTCATGTAAAAGCATAAGATTTACGATTAGAGATTTCATTATGCTTAAGGCCTGAGCAGAATAGAAACGTAACCGCGCAAACGCAACCGGTAGAATGAGTTAGAGAAGGATAGACAAATTGTTTGTTCTTCTCCAACTCATTATTCCGGTTGCGTTTGCGGTTACGATTCCGGTTATGTTTCTATTTTGCTCAGGCCTTTAGGCCTGTTAGCGAACGAGATGTATGTGTTAGAAATGAACAGAGATATATTTTTATCTTTTTCTATTTCATAAAAAAGCCAATTTTTTCTCGAAACTATTGTGCGTTGGCCTTTAGGATGAAATCACATGGAGTGGTTAGTTTCTATTGTCCCCACTGGCCATTTGTCATAATTCACGTCAACTACCACACCTTGCTCTGGTGAAAAATTTAGTAAATTTTAATTTTAACAATAAAGTCATTAAATTTTTTACTAGAGCATGGTGCGGTAGTTGGCGACAATTATGACAAATGGCGAGTGGGGACTAAGACGGCATTCCCATGACAGCGTTTTGTCACTAGACCATGAGCGGAAAAAAGATGTAGATATATGTTTGTTATGTTTACATTCATGGCCTAGTTAAAAAACGCAACGCTGTAGGACTGCAGCCTAAGGCTGCAGTCCCATGGCAGCGTTTTGCGTTGCGTTTTGTCACTAGACCCTGAGTGTAAACATAGCAAACATATATCTGCATCTCTTTTACACTCATGGTCTAGTGACAAAACGCAACGCAAAACGCTGCCATGGGACTGCAGCCTGAAGGCCTGAGCAGAATAGAAACGTAACCGGAATCGTAATAGCAAACGCAACCGGAAGAATGAGTTAGAGAATGTCAAGTGCAAAACAAGTACACTCGTGGCCAGATATGCCTACACTTTTTTGTCCTTTTCTAATGTACATGTTGTCATGGCAACACGTGTGTTAGAAAAGGACAAAAAAGTGTAGGCATATCTGGCCACGAGTGTACAAATATTGCAAGTTGCTTTGTAGAAGCACCTTAAAATATAAAGCTACTGATGAAAATCTGAAGTTTTTCTGTTGTACTTTAAACAAAAAATGTTTAGATATAGCACTCTAAGTGAACGCTATAGCCGATAATTTGAATTTTATAAAGTTAAATAAAAAGTATTTATTTTAGTGGTCCACATGATTTTGATATATTACTGTTCGCTCAACAATGGGCAAAATCATTGTGCTTTCAATACAATAAGCCACCAAATAATTGTTATTTACCTCAACATAATGATTGGACAGTTCATGGAATTTGGCCAAGTAAAATTAATCAAAGAGGTCCCGAAAGTTGTAAACAAATACAATTTAGACCACAAGAATTGTCATCAATAAAAAGTCATTTGGATTCATATTGGTTGAGTATTCATGGACCAAATGCCAATGGATTTTGGAAACACGAATGGGATAAACATGGAACATGTTCCGTTGTTATGCCCCTATTGAATACTCAATTAAAATATTTTCAAACAGGATTGAATTTAAATGCGCAATATAATATTGGTGCAATGCTACAAAAAGGAGGCATTGTACCTGGAAGAAGTTATTCGATACATAATATTATGAGTACGCTTAATCAAGGATTAAAAGCATCACCACAAGTTACTTGCATTTCGAAGAAGGTAAGTAAATAAGTCAGTACAAAAAAAAACTTTTCATAGTTTTTTCCACATATTATTTTCAATTTCAAAATTTACACTGATGTCGACAAAAATTTTGCCACAAGAGCATACGTTGATGATTCTTAGGGTGGAGTTACATGTTGATGTAAATACAGAATGCAAAACCGAAAATAATGAGAGTGAAAAGGATAGTGATATATTGGCGATTCAAACAGCTACACTAGCGCCACAGTTGAACTAACTTAAGCGTGACTCGCTCTGTAGCACTCCATGTGTTTTAAATTATTTTTTTTTATTTAACGCTTAAAAATTATTTTACAAATGCAATAAAAATATCAGAATAATTAAATAATTTGAAATAAACTGTCAAAACAGAGACTGCTTTAGAGCGAGTCACGCTTACGTTAGTTCAACTGTGGCGCTAGTGTAGCTGTTTGAATCGCCAATATATCACTATCCTTTTCACTCTCATTATTTTCGGTTTTGCATTCTGCATTTACACCAACATGTAACTATACCCTATAAGTGCGATTCCAGGTGAGATTTTGACTTTTTCGGAGTAGGTTAACCGATTGCAATTAAACTTTCGAATTTTCTTATATATAGTAAGACTAATCTTGAACGTAAATTGCAGCTTAAAATATTTGTTAGTTTACGAGATTTACAATAATAACAAAAAAATTGCGCTATATCTTCCGTTCTAATAATCGGATTGAGGTCTACTTTTTTTAAAAATGTCAAGGAAAATGAGAGGAATAAATCTGTTTCAGAACAATTTTTTATAATTTTACAACTAAAAAAATTATTAAATAATAATTGAATAAATTTCAAGCGACAATCTAAAATTCAATCACTTAAACGCTAAAATGATCTTACCTGTGTTCTCTTTAATGATTCAAAGGAATCCAATTGTAAATGCAAGTTTAACTTATTTAATTTTAATAATTTACGAGTATAAACAATTACGATTTCTGCTAGTTGACGTGCAGACGACATTGCGCACGCAGCATTCTCCTGTAACCAGCTGACGTGATTCGTGGACTAAATTGGCTACGTGAGAATGGTGCGTGCGCAATGTCGTCTGCACGTCAACTAGCAGAAATCGCAATTGTTTATACTCTTAAATTATTAAAATTAAATAAATTAAACTTGCATTTACAATTGGATTCCTTTAGAACATTAAAGAAAACACTGGTAAGATCATTTTAGCGTTTAAGTGATTGAATTTTAGATTGTCGCTTGAAATTTATTCAATTATTATTTAATAATTTTTTTAGTTGTAAAATTATAAAAAATTGTTCTGAAAGAGATTTATTCCTCTCATTTTCCTTGACATTTTAAAAAAAAGTAGACCTCAATCCAATTATTAGAACGGAAAATATAGCAGTTTAAAATTTTTTGTTATTATTGCAAATCTCGTAAACTAACAAATATTTTAAGCTGCAATTTACGTTCAAGATTAGTCTTACTATATATAACAAAATTCGATAGTTTAATTGCAATCGGTTAACTTACTCCGAAAAAGTCAAAATCTCACCTAGAATCGCACTTATAGGAATTTTCCCGTAGATTACGAATTCGTCAACGAAACTTGTTCATCACGTCTCAATAATTTTCAAAAAAAAACGGGGTCAAAGTATTTTTTGCAAAAAAAAAAGTTCAAAATTTATCGATCAGTGTTATTTTTCATTGCGAAAATTTTTTTGAATATAATATTAATTTTATAAAAAAATCAAATGAAAATTACCAACGTTTTTATAAATAAAAATTATTTTTTTTTAATAATAAATAAATAAAAATAAATATGGAAGGAATTTTCTATAAATTGAATATTAAAATTTTTAAAAATAAATAATTAGAAATTAAAAAAAAAATTTCCTATCACATATTGAAAATTATCGTAAATAAAATATAAAAACTGTTTTAATGCACTAAGAAAGAGATAAGTGAATAATATTCTTATAGGGAACACAATATATTCAAGAAGTGAGACTTTGCTTCAACAAACAATTGAAGTTGATCAATTGCAAGGGCAATCTTTCTTATGAGACAAATTGCGACCCCAAAAAAAATGTTGAATATCCACGAAAATAATATGAGAGAAGGATTATTACTTTTTTGGAATTTAAAATTGTGAGAAGGTTATTATTATGAATGTTTAATAAATTAATATTTAATTAGTTTTTAATAATAATAATAATAATAATACTAAAATTCTAACAATCCTGTTTACACTTTTAGTTCCGTTGGTAACGGTTTTTTCAAACGTTTTAAATTGACTATATAAGTATTCAATTATTGTAAATTTGAATATAAGAATTGCAAAATTCGAATTTAAATGTTGAACATTTCTGTTAAATTATAAATGTTACATTGTTTCTTATTACATTTATATTTATTTTATGCAATAAACAATTCTATGTTTACTATATATATATATACAATAATTTATAAAAATGTTACTTTTCAATTACAATATTTTTAAATAATAAATATTGTAATTAAATAGAAAATATAGATATTGGATTTCATTCTGTAAATCTTGAAATTTTATATTTATATTATTTAATTACTTAATTTTAATTTAAAAATGTTTCTCCATAAATTAAAATTTCCAATTGAATGGAATTTTAATATTTCATAAATATTTTATTTTGTATCTAGATTAATGTGCGAAAAGGGCTTTCTAAAATTTTTAATAATTTCAATGTTATTAAGAGTTGAAAAATGACACATTTTTTTCCAGTTAAAAAAATCTATTAGTTTTAGAAAAAAATGTCCCTATTTACAAAAATAGTTAAAAATCGATTCAATTTTATAAAAAAAAAATGATTTAAATTAAAAAGTAAAAAAAATTAATCTATTTGCTTAATAAACAATTTTTATTTATTGTTATTTACTATAAAGGAGTTAACCGATTTTAATTAAAAAATATCCCTGTAAAATTCCGGATTCCACTTTCAAAATTCCGTATTCCACTTTTCACATTCTGTATTCTGAATTCCACATTCTGGATCCCACTTTGAAAATTCCGTATTTCAGATTCCACATCCTGGATTCCACTTTCAAAATTACGCATTCCGAATCCTATATTCCACATTTCGTATCCCACATTGCCGATTCCATTTTCCACATTCCGGATTCTACTTTCAGAATGTGGGATGTGGAATCCGGAATTTTGAAAGTGGGATCGGGAATCTGGAATTTGAAAAGTGAATACGGAATGTGGAACCGGATTGTGGGATCCGGAATACGGAATGCGAAATGTGGAATCTGGAATTTTAAAAGTGGAATCTGAAATACGAAATTTTGAAAGATCTGGAATGTGGAATCCGGAAAAAGTTACGTAATTGACCCCCAAGGCATTAAAAAGCAATGAAATGTGATAATGCTTACACGGAGAGAAAAAACGAGCCTTTACAGCATGGACCTATGTATGCTCTCTTCGTACGCGCCTCTATCGTCCATCTTCGGTACCATCTCTTGCTGTAGTAGCTCGGCTCCTTACTATTTTAGTACGGGCAAGTGAAAATATAGTATAAGGTCGTACCGAAGATGGACGGTAGAGGCGCGTACGAAGAGAGCATATATAGGTCCATGCTGTAAAGGCTCGTTTTTTCTCTCCGTGTACCAATGAAGGTAAAAAATACTGTTTGTTAAGTGATTTTGTCAATATTAAAAAATTTTTTTTGACAAAATGTAATTTAACATTTAAATAAAATTTTAATACAAAATTCTAAGAAAACCTGAAATAGACATGAAATATATTTGTTAATAGAAAATTTTTTATGGAAACTTCATTTTATTGACCTGAAAAGATAAATAAATTTTCTTAAACAATTAAATATTGTATTTTTTGTATATAAATTTATTAAACTTAACAATAAATTTTATTAAGAAAACATTACAATAGTTTACACAAGTGTCTCAAGTGTTTTGAATCAATACCAGACGTCATATCGTTTATATTGCGACATAATCTAATAATCACCAAACCTTTCGGGATATTCCACAAACTGGACACGGTTACAATTGGTTTCCGTTTTGAGGTGTTCTTTGCAACTAATTAATTTGAATTCCTTGTCCATACAAATTCGAACTTCTTCTAAAAATTGATCTTTGTCCTAGAAAAAAAAAAATATTTTTAATAATTATTAATAATGATCGTATATATATATAATATTTAAGAATATTATGTAGAATTCAAGATTCTATTCATAAAATTTGATAATAAATTTGAAAAATATTTTTAATTTATATAAAAATTTTAAATAAACATCTTTTTTGAGTGAAAAAATATTTTTACCTTGCCACCTCTGATGCAAGTGACTTGTGGCAAAACTCCCAATTTTTCATCTAAAGCATTTAAAATTTTTGAAATTGGATATCTTCTACCTGGTATAATATTTGATCTCTCAAGAATATACTGAATATCATATATTTTATTTAATTTTAATCCCATGTAAAAATATTTTTCTATTGTATTCATGCTGTTTAAACGAATTGAACATGTTCCATGTTTATCCCATTCATGCTTCCAAAAATCATACCCCATCTTATCTAAAGCACTTCTCCATTTTATTTCTAATTTATCTCTTATATTATCCAATTCATGTAAATTAAATTCTAAATCTGGCCTACAATTTGAAGGTTGTATTTTTCCATGTCGATTTGGCCAAACACCATGTATGGTCCAGTAATCTTGTTGTGGAACATTGCATTTATTTGTTGGTATTTGCAATTTAATGCACGTACTTTTTAGCCATTGTTGACTAAATACTATAAATTCAAAATCATTTACAAACCTACAAAAAAAAGTTAAGTATTTTTTTTAATTTTAGATTTTTTATCAGTATTCTTTTATTTGACATCACCAAAGTAAGTATAGTATGTCAAAAAATGTGTAAATTTCAGGAATTTTTTTCTCAAACACATTGAAGTAAATCAATCCGAGATTTAGTGGATTTTTTCTTATATATTTAAACCTTTGAAATATAATACAGGCACACAAAAAAAAAGTGGTGTGGCCGAGAAACTACAGTAGTACATTTCCATGTATTTTTTCCCGCTGAATTCGAATTTGAAGCCAGAAATGTCAAATTGGCTCAAACTTTTGAGATAAACTCAAAAAATTAGTTAAAATCAAAAAAACGAAATTTTTTTGGCCAACACACTACACTAGTGTATTTACATGTATTTATTCCCGCTGAATCCGAATTCAAAGCCAGAAATGTCAAATTGGCTCAAAATTTTGAGATAAACTCAAAAAGCTGCTCAAAAAAAAGTGATTTATAATCAAAAAGTTTTTTGAGTTTATCTCAAAATTTTGAACCAATTTGACATTTCTGGCTTTGAATTCGGATTCAGCGGGAATAAATACATGTAAATACACTAGTGTAGTGTGTTGGCCAAAAAAATTTCGTTTTTTTGATTTTAACTAATTTTTTGAGTTTATCTCAAAAGTTTGAGCCAATTTGACATTTTTGGCTTTGAATTCGGATTCAGCGGGAAAAAATACATGGTAATACACTAGTGTAGTGTGTTGGCCAAAAAAAATTTCATTTTTTTGATTTTAACTAATTTTTTGAGTTTATATCAAAAGTTTGAGCCAATTTGACATTTCTGACTTCGAATTCGGATTCAGCGGGAGTCGTTTTTTGAGTATAATTCAAAAACAAGAGCCAATCTGACTATTCCGAATTCGAATTCGGATTCAGCGGCGAAAAATACATGGGAATATACTACTGTAGTGTATCGGCCAAACCACTTTTTTTTGTGTGCCTGTGTAATTTTTTCATTAAAAAAAAATTTGTGCACAATCCAGGCTCCACAATTCTAATGTAAAAAAAAATTCTTTACTTCAATCGTATACTATTGCCTTCTGTATGAATTAATTTTTTTTTTAAAGTTGAATTTAACATTTTTTTTTTTTTTTTTTTTAAGAAAAAGTGAGATTTTTTTTGGCGAAAATTTAATTTTTTTTAACATGCTAAATATTACTACAGCTACACAGGTAAGGAAAATCTTTTTGGTATTGTTAAAATATTAGAAAAAATAATATTGTAATTAAAAATTACTCTACAAAAATAATTCGAGAAATCTGAAATTTCGGCCAGGATTATATTTTAAGTAACTTGAAGTTTGTCGCTTACTTAATTCGTTGCCCAACTCAAAATGAATTGCAACAATGGCCGAAATATTTCAGCGGGAGTTTTAAAATCAATCAATCGCAATTTTCTAGATAATTTTTGATTGGTGGATTTTAAAACTCCCGCTAAAAAGGTTTTGGTTATGTGAAATTTCCATTAAATGGACATTCGATGTTTTAAAAATTCAGTTAATTTTAAGTAGAATTCAGTTAACTTCAAGTCTTTTAATTAAAACCTTTTTAAATAAAAAATTTTGAAAATTAATATCTCCAAAACGTAGCAAAACACCTTCGTAAGATTTTAAAAGAGGGTAAAGAATATTATAAAAAATCTTTGTGCAAAACCTCAATTTTTTCGGAGCACCGACAAAAAAGTTATGAGTAAATAAAAATCTTGAGAATATTTAAATAAAATTTTTTTTAAAATCGTATATCATCCAAAAATAATAAATTTTTGCAATAATTCTTTCGTTCCTCTGTGCAGAATAAAGTGATTTATGTTTTTGGTGAGTTCCAACATCTAATTTTTAGTAGTTTTTAAATAATAGTGTTTTTAAAAAAATTGAAAAATTTAAGGTTACAAAATCACATTGTGAACCTCATACTTTTGATATTTAATATTTTTAAAGGGAATAAAATTTTTACCATAATATTATGGTTAATGTACTCAGGGAATCATCGAGTTTCACATATATTAAAACTAGATTTTTTTAAAATTTCGTCGCAACCACTATTAGACGAAAGTCAGTGGTCTAACCCAATATATTATTTTCCTAAATTTAAGAATAAATTATAATTTTTAGTGTTCACAAAAATTCTATTTTTACAATATATAGTAATTCTACAGTTTTAGCAAAGTAAAAAACTTACGTAATTGAACTTTGTACAAATAATCCGAGGAAAATACAAAATATCCAAAAAATGTGCATTTTGTAAAAGCAAAAATCTTCAGTTGATTAAATTTGAAACTTCTAGTGATAATAATATGATTATTAATTTAAACGAAACAATGTAAACGATGAAAATACATGAATCAAATATGTGTATAGAAAAAACTTATTGAGAAATTCTTATCGATATATACGTGTATATATTATATAAAAATTATTTATCATAATGGAATTTTATTTATCTTTCATTTCTATTGGAATTTAGAATTTTACAAAAAAAAAATAATTTTAATTCTTACATACAAGATTTTGTTATTAATTAAATGAAATTTAAAGATTCAATTTATATTTTTAAAGTATAATTTACTTTACACTAGACAAATAATAAAAACTTTCTAATCGAACAAAAGACGATAAGTGTGTTATTTCTTTTATGTGACAAAAGTTATATACCTACGCAAATGCTGTTATCAATTATTTGATGATGTTACACAATTATGTTTGATACATTGTATAAGTCCCTGGATGTTAACTATTAGCTTAATAATTTACATTGTTGAAGTTGAAAATGAAATTAGAAAGTCGCATATATGAAAAATGTGTTACATATCTTTAAAATATAATTAAAAATTCTATCGCAATATGTGCGCTAAATAATATATTTTAGTATATCGGAAAATATTAAATAAATAAATTATTTTAATATAATTAATTGAATATATTAATTTCCTAATACAATAATAATAATAATAATAATAATAATATTAATAATAATAATAATAATAATAATAATAATAATAATAATAATATTAATAAATATATATAAATCAAATTATATGTAGGGTGAATCTAAGATTTTACAAAAGATTAGTAAATCTTATTGGAGTCAAATAAACTGTATTTTATCAAACGATAATAATAATAATAATAATATAACAAATAAAATTTATTCAGTCCAGATAATTTATTTATATAAGGAAATATCAATTAACTATTGCCAATTTCGATTGAAGTTTTTTTTAATCATACTTGTTCTTTGTTCTTATATATATTTGAAAACGTAAAAGAAATATATAACTTTATCGATCACCTAATAAAAATAATTGATAAAAGTGATTGTAAATATAATAAATAAATTTATATCTATCTCAAAAAATGTTTTTGTTCTCAATTTTTCCTTAATTGTGTCATAATGACGAAAATCAATTTGATTGCACTAAGGAAATAAACCCGTATTTTTTTTTTCATCACGTAAATTACATATTAAACAGACTTCAAATATTTTTTATAAAGTACAATATATGTTGGCAAAAAAAAAAAAAATAAATGAAATGATATTTAAAATGAGAAAGTAAAACAAATTTTTTATCATTTTCATAATAAACATTGGTAAGTGCATAAAATAATAATAATTATAATTTATTTATTATTTAAAATTATAAACAATTTTTTATAAGAATAAAAAATTTTAAGTTTTTAAACATTAAATTTTTCTAATATTTATACTTTTTTTTATTTATAGGATATATAATATTATATATTTAATATGTATAAATTTGCAATATATATTTTCAAAATAACACTATTTTTATTTTTTAAAGTGCACCTTTCAAGTTTTTCAAAAAATGGACACTCACTTTTTTTGGAAATTGTATATTTTCCTAGGTATTCTCGTACAACTCTCAATTGCGTAAGTTATAATCAGGAAAAACCACATTCTTTGAATAAATTTTTAATATTGTAATATAATCAGATTTATTCATTAAAATATATATAAGTTACCTTTGTTTTAATGCAAACAAAATTTGTGATATTTTGGAATTTCTTTCCTGCTGTATATAAATAGTTAAAAATTAATTTTTAAAATAATTTTTATTAAATAATTATTTTTTTCTGATTTCAATCACAAATTTTATTTAATTACTTGCAAATTTTTCGAAAAAAATTTAACAAAATTAAAAAAAATTGGAAATTTTTTTATTGAGGCAAAATATCTCAAGTGATCCAAAATATTAAAAGTGTGAACAGTGGATTCTTGAAAAGTAGTAGATATTATACAATAAAATAAAAGAATTTTTTGATCTATATACCAATATAGGTAAAAAAAACATTTTTCATTTTAAAGAAAAAGTGTTAAATATTTTGAATTTTTTTTTGAAAAAATTTTCAAACAGCAACAAAGCAAGAAAAAAATCTTTCGAAAACATATATAGGTCAAAATTTGTTTATAACCTTATTGTATAATAGCTACGACTTTTAAAAAATCCACTGTTCACTTACTAAAAAACAATTTAACCCCCTTCCCTCACTATATAGTTTTTAATAAAACCTAACAATACTTCGTTGTTGAAATTCTAAACTCATATTGGACTAAACAATGTGCAAGTTTCATCTCTACTTGAGAAAATTTTTTTTCAGTTGAATCACTTGATGAATTTTGCCCCTTATATGGGACATTTCATATCAGATTTTCATACATTTTTTTTTTAATATTTCTAAAAAATTTATGAAAAATATAGCGAATTATTTTTCTAGAATTGTTTACATCGAATTTTCGAAAAGTTCACACAAACCCTTCACACAAAAAAACTTTTACTCTCTAAATCTTAATTAGTAAAAATGTTTACTAATTTAAATTAGTGACTCACTTTTTGCTTCTAAATTAGTTAAATTTTACTAATTGTTAGTAAAATTTTACTAATTCAGAAGCAAAAAGTGAGTCACTAATTCAAATTAGTAAACATTTTTACTAATTCAGATTTAGAGAGTACACAGAAAATTAAAAGGCATTAAAATAAGCTGCAACGCTTCTTATTTTAATCCAATTTTGCTTATTTTAATACCAAAATTGATTAAAATAAGCAAAATTGGATTAAAATAAGAAGCGTTGCAGCTTATTTTAATGCCTTTTAATTTTCTGTGTAAAATTGAAACCTCAAAACCTCAAAAAACATGTCAGATTTTATGTCATATACAAATTTTTTTAAAATTGGTTGGGGTTTGGGGGGTCGTTGATTACGAATATGAAGTCAAATTTTCAAAATTCAAAATGGCGGATTCAATATGGCGGACGAATTTTTAAATTTTCACGTAACTTGGTATCTAGGGGTTTTTTGGGTCGCTGATTACAAATCTGAAGTGAGATTTTAAAGATTCAAACAGACAAACCCAATATGGCAGAAATTTTTTCAAAAATTTTTACAATCTGACTTCAGATTTGTAATTGGCGACCCCAAAAACCAATAGATACCAAGTTACGTGAAAATTAAAAAAAAATTTTTAATTCGTCCGTTATATTGGATCCGCCATTTTGAATTTTGAAAATTTCACTTCATATTCGTAAAAATTATTGTATTCTATCCCATTAACGACCGCCAGGACGAAAAATTTACCTTCACTTAGGAGCTGTTATTTTATATGAAAAAATAATTTAAAAACTTCAGGATAGCCCATTTTTAACGTAAAAATTATCGCTCTTTTCGATTCTGAAGTCCAAATTTAATTATAATTAAATCCTTAATATTTATAACAATTTTTTTGCAAAAAAACATGATTTTCTGCAAAAAAATTTTTATTCAAACAATATTTTGACAAAAATAAAAATAGTTGCGAATTTCAAAATTTAAGATGGCGGACGATAAAACGGCGATTTTCCACTAAAAAAGATTTAAAAAATACTATTTTGCAAAAAATAATATATTGATGAATTATTTTTTTTTCTGCACCATATACTTATGTTTTTTGGGTCACTAAACACGAATACGGTATAAGTTTTCAAAAATTCAAAATGGCGGATCCAATATGGCGGACAATTTTTTCAAAAACTCAATGGATTTATCTGAAATTTGTTACTCGGGGGTTTTTGGGGTCACCGGTTACAAATCTGAAGTTACTTTTCAATAATTCAACATGGCGGATCCGAAATAGCCTACAAATTTTAAACCCTGCAGAAAATCCTTTAAAGTACGCGTCTCTTTAGAAATTTTTATAAAAAATGTTAAACAATTTGATTATTTCAGTACTCCTTTGACGGTAGAAATGGTGAAATTTTATGGTCACACAGTAATAAAATAGTAGATCAGTAATAAAAAATGTGTTCGATTTCAATATAAAGTGAAGTAATTCGAAATCAACGACCCCAAAAACTCAATAAGTATTGATTTTCAAGCAAATTCGGTGAATTTTAAAATTTGTAGGCTATTTCGGATCCGCCATGTTGAATTATTGAAAAGTAACTTCAGATTCGTAACCGGCGACCCCAAAAACCCCCGAGTAACAAATTTCAGATAAATCCATTGAGTTTTTGAAAAAATTGTCCGCCATATTGGATCCGCCATTTTGAATTTTTGAAAACTTATACCGTATTCGTGTTTAGTGACCCAAAAAACATAAGTATATGGTGCAGTAATAAAAATAATTCATCAATATATTATTTTTTGCAAAATAGTATTTTTTAAATCTTTTTTAGTGGAAAATCGCCGTTTTGTCGTCCGCCATCTTAAATTTTGAAATTCGCAACTATATAGTTTTGTAGCTGGGTATTCGAGGACGCGATATTTTGGGTTCCGGAGCAAATTAACTGTCGTTTTCCATGTCAAAATATTTTTTGAATAAAAATTTTTTTGCAGAAAATCATGTTTTTTTGCAATAAAATTGTTATAAGTATTAAGGATTTAATTATAATTAAATTTGGACTTCAGAATCGAAAAGAGCGATAATTTTTACGTTAAAAATGGGCTATCCTGAATTTTTTAAATTATTTTTTCATATAAAATAACAGCTGCTAAGTGAAGGTAAATTTTTCGTCCTGGCGGTCGTTAATGGGCTATCTGTAGAAATAAATTGCATTGTTTATATTCTTAAACACATTTAAAAATTTTATAGAATATCGTCTTTTCCGTAGTTTAAAAAAATTAATTTTTATTTTTCACTTGAAAAACTTGTAAAATATTTGATTAAAAAGAGAAAAAAAAACCGAATATTTTTTTAGAGCTCTAAGTGACTTCGATTTATTAGTATTCGCCCAACAATGGCCAAAATCAACCTGCATCAAATCTAGAAAACCACCAAGTCAATGTATTTTACCACGAAATGATGATTGGACAATTCATGGAATTTGGCCAACTAAATCGGGTCAAAGAGGTCCAGAGAGTTGTCGAGCAGATTTACCATTTAGAGCTCAAGAAGTGCAATCAATAAGAAGTCGATTATTAATACAATGGCTAAATGTTTTGAATAATAATCCAGTTAGATTTTGGAAGCACGAATGGGAAAAGCATGGCACGTGCTCTGTTGATTTAGCAGATTTAAATACACAATTAAAATATTTCAGTAAAGCTCTAGAATGGAATAATAGATATAAAATAGGAAGTATCCTTGGAATTGATCGTATAACACCTGGTAAAAATTATGCCATAAAAGATATTTTAACAGCTCTCAATCAAGGTTTAAGAGAATCATCTCAAGTTACTTGTATCAAAGATGCTGTAAGTATATATAATAAAGCGAGATGTGCGTTTGAATAATGAAAAAAAAAATATATTTAAGATTGCAAAATTTTTTCAGTCAATCGAATTTTATAATTGATTTCACTATTTCACATCGGAGCGTATAAATTTCCTAATTAAAATTTGATAGAATTTCTTTTTATACGAATTTTTACATACCAAAATTTTTAGCAATCTAATTTTTGATTGGCAGAATTTTTATTTTATATATAGTCATTTAATTTACATGACTTTTTATTTGAGGAAATTTTAATTTAACAGAATTCTCATTCAATCGAATTTTATGTGATCAGGGTGTCTAACAAATTACGATTTACGAAAAATTAGAGCAGAAATTAAAATGGCCGCGTTTTTGTCCTATTTTTAGAGAAAAACGGAGGCATTTTAATTTCTGCCTTACACAGAAAAAACCTTGTCTCATTTTTGATGCAAATCAAAATGAGCCAATGCTAAACGACATAGACAGTGGCGCCACCAACCTGGTTCATTTTTGTTGCACATCAAAATGAGCCGCCTACACGCATCATTCTGAGTTCAGTTTTTTTCTGTATAGTTTTATGCAAAAATAGAGCAAAAACGGCGCCATTTTAATTTCTCCTCTGATTTTACGAAAAAATAGAGCATATATAAACAGCGCCATTTTAATTTATGCTCTATTTCTCCGTAAAAATAGAGCAGAAATTAAAATGGTGGCGTTTTTGTTCTAATTTTTATAATTTATTTCAAAATTCCAGAAATTTTATGAAATTTCATGACTTTTTCGTCCAAAAAAGTAATTCCATGACTTTTTTTAATTTTTGTACGAATTTTTAATTGCTAAAATTTTTAAGTCGTAGAATTTTCATTTGTCCGAAATTACAAATGGCCGAACAAACAATCGACAGAAAGATTTCGGTGGAATTTTTAAAATTGACCAATTAGAAATTATTAAGAAAATCGTGATTGGTCAGTTTTAAAAATTCCGCCGAAATCTTTCTGTCGATTGTTTGTTCGGACATTTGTAATTTCGGACAAATGAAAATTCTGTCAATTAAAAATTTTTACAAATTAAAACTTGGTGAATTGGAATTTCTGTCTTTTAAAAATTCGAATCACATAAAATTCGATTGAATGAAAATTCTATTAAATTAAAATTCGCCTAACTAAAAATTTTTTTAAATAAAAAATCATATGAAGAAAATTACTGTAAAATAAAATTCTGCCAAACAAAAATTCGGTAACTTAAAATTTTTTTATGTAAAAAAAATATGTAAAATAAATAAAAATTCTAATTAATGGTTATAATGGGATAATCATGCGCCCAATTTTAAAAAAAGAAAAAACAATTTAATTTACTATATATATATAACATTTTTAGGCAAATAAACAATACTTGCATGAAGTAAGGATTTGTATAGACAAGAATTTGAAATTAATCAGTTGCAGAGGGCATTTGGCCTTTGAGACAAATTGCGATTCAAGAACAAATGTTGAATATCCCAGCCGATGAAATATAAAACGATATGGTCAAATTATTCATTATAAATATATATAAAAAGTAAAAAATTTTTAATTCAATATTTTATATGTACATACACATAATATTTTTTATTTTGTTGTTCAAAAAATTTGTTATTTGTTGTAATTGAGTCGCCGGAAAGTAAAACAACATATAAACTTCTGACTCCCATTGAATTAACATGGTCCTTAGAATTTTATGTGTGGTTTTACTTTCCGGCGACTCAATTGTAATATGTTGTATTTTTTAAATTAAAAAATTATTATTATTATTTGTTATTTTTGTTATACATTCTTTGCCATGTTTAAAAGTATGTTTTCTAAAATTTATATATCTTTGTATCTAAACAATTTTTAACAGACAGTAATAAATTTTAGTTTTGACACCCTTTTAAGGTTATTTAAAATTTTCAATGTACTTTTTCTATACTTTTATATTATAATAATTGTTTGACCGTCAGTACTGGCGTCGTACTGAATTTGGTCCTATTTTCGAATCTAATTTGTTAATAATTATATTAATTTCCAGAAATTTTCTGAAAAATAAGTCAACTTTGTATTTATGAAACAATTTATATAAAAACAGCAAATGTAAATATTTTTAATTATTATAAGGGGTTAGACCACTGTGAAAGCCGAAAATCAGACCTATTTTTATGATTTTTATTCAAGAACAGAATAAAATGAATTAAAAAAATCATCAAATCATATAATCATATTAAGTATATTAAACTATTAAAAAATTATTTTCAAAAGGTAAGAAAATAAAAAACCAAATTTATTTCTTAATTTATAACTCAAAATTTATGGAAGTCCGTAGGGGATTTTGAAAAAATCGATTTTTGTAAAAATGGCACGTGTTTTAATCAAAATCTATAATGATTATATTATTGTTTCTTATTTCTACCTTTTTAGCAAAAAAAAATTTTCGATTTTTTAAAAATTTCACAGTGGTCTAAACCCTTAAAAAAATAATTATCAATAAAAAAATAAAATTAATTTCTGTTTTAAAATTATATTTTCTAAATAAATTAATATAAGCTTATGTGTAAGTGCGGATAAGTCACGTAAGCAGTTACCACAAGCGAAACAACAATTTATGTACATACAAATGTTTCTTTTTTTTTGCATAAACAAATGATTTGAATAAAAATACACTTTAAAAGTAAAAAAAATTTTCTCTTTATACGTTTTAATTATTTATCTTTAAAAACTTATTGCTTTTCCATCATGAAACTTTATTAAGGGTCTTTTATTAACATTATAAATTATCAAAACACAATTTTTTAAGTCGGAGGTAATTTTTTTTCAAAATAATGATTTTTAAACAAATTTAATGCAAAAAACGTGTTTTTTTCAGGAATAACGTTTTTTTTCAAAATTGCATCTTATTGAGAGTAATTTAAAGAAATTGATTATATATCTTTTTTTTTATTTTGATAATTTTTACTATTATAACTTCATTATGAAAAATGAGGGCTTTTTTCACACAAAAGCGAATAATAAATTGTATTAATTTTTCAAGAAAATTGAATTTATTTAATTAAAAAGAAATTAAATTACTTAATTTTAGCAATAGAAATTATTAATTTAAACAGTGAACTTCACCGTGACTAAATACCTAATAAATAAATATTATGAATTTAAAAAAAAATACTACTTTGCGACCCTTCCCCCTTTTTCTTTTAAGTTTTGTTACATTTTTTTTTCAATTATTAAACCGAATACAAATAACAACATTAAATTGATTACAAACTGATATCACAATCTAATGTATGTTCTTTAAGGAAAGTTTACAACAAAACTTTTTCCAAACATATAATTTTGAAGTAGTTTAGATAAAGTTAAATATCCATTTTCTACTTGTTACTTTATTGACTTTTATTTATTTATTTTTCAAAATTTTATTATTATAAATTATATGCATTTGTTTTTTTTTATCAATTAAATTCATTTGACATATAACCATAGTTATTGGCCAATTACAAAAAAATGGCAAATTTTTTTCGATTTTTCCTTTTCGTCATAATGACGAAAATAAAAATTTATTGTGAGGAAAAAAAAACCCGTATTTTTATGACGTAAATTAAATTTAAAACAGGCTTTTCATCTATACTTTTGTTTATAAAAATAGTTTTTGAAATAGTATTTAAAGACTTAGACAAAATGTTTTCATCACTTTTACAATCGACTTTGGTAAGTAACAAATTAGTTTTGTTTTTAATTAGGCATATAATTTAGAAATGCCACTGTTGGCACAGTACTTCGTAAAAATGTTTTAATAAAAAAAAAAAAATCATTTTACATTCGGTTGAAAATTTCTTTAATTTGATTATGTTTTACTATTTTATTTACGTAAAAAAAATATTTAAAATTTCCTTCTTTGATCCAAATTTAAAATTATTACACTTATTTTATTAAACAGAAATATTTCATGTCCAGGAAGTTAGACCAGTAAAGTTAAAATTTTCAAAAAACAAATATTGTGCTAAATTGTGCATATTTGTGTTAAAATTCATTTTTGGAAAAACTCAAAATTCCGGGCAATAAAATCAAAAACTTATTTTAGATGACTCAGTTTAAAATTATCAAAAAATATCTTTTTTTTTAATTTAAACTTTACAGGTCTAAAATTAAGTTTTTTGATGCTTTTGCCCGGAATTTTCAGTTTTTTAAAAATTGAATTTGTGGACAAAAGAGTACAAGTCGAGTACAATTAAGCACAAATTTGTTTCTTGAAAATTTTAACTTTACTGGGGTCTCACAGAAAATTAAAAGGCATTAAAATAAACTGCAACGCTTATTATTTTAATCGAATTTTGCTTAATTTAATCCATTTTGGAATTAAAATAAGCAAAATTGGATTAAAATAATAAGCGTTGCAGCTTATTTTAATGCCTTTTAATTTTCTGTGCTAACCTCCTGGACATGAAATATTACTTCATGAAAATTAGAAAGTTTGCAGTTTTTTACTTAAAGTGTAAATACTGAATATTTTATTATTCCATTAGAAATATTTAGATAAAATTGTTTAATATTTTACTAAAATGCGTTAAAAAAATTTATTAGAAGACAATAGAGCAAATGCTTAATTTTAATTTTTAAACTAACACTATGTAAATTGTTTAAATACAGGTCTTAAATTTTTTAAAAAATGAACTCCAATTTCTTTGGAAAATTATGTATCTTCCTGACTGCATTGTCGATTGCGTAAGTTTTATTATATAAGCAATTAAAAAATTATAAATATAAATTAATTAATCACTTAAAACATTGTAATAATTCATCTGCATAATTCCATTTAATAATAATTTATATTTATAAGTAGGGAATAACAAAATTTTCCATTTCGTACAAAATTATATATATTAGTAGAGAGAAAAAAAAGGGAAAAAATTAACATAATTGTAAAATGACAAAATATAAAAAATCACTAGGTAGCACTAATTGTCATTATTAAAAAAAAGAGTGATATAGAATGAAAATTTATAACAAGGGAAAAAAATAAAAATTTTAGAGCCGGTCAAAACAATTACGCAATATTAGTATTTAGCCAACAATGGCCAAGAACGACATGTTTACAAGCAGGAAGACAACCAAATGAATGTAATATACCCCATAATGATTGGACGATACATGGAATTTGGCCAAGTAAAAATGCACCTGAAAGAGGTCCTTTTGATTGTGATACAAGAAATAATCTTAACGCTCGAAATTTAAATGGCATAAGAGGTCAACTTAATACCAGATGGTTAAATGTTTTAAATAATAATCCAGTGGGATTTTGGAGCCACGAATGGCGTAGGCATGGAACATGCTCGTTAGATATACAAGCTTTAAATTCACAATTTAAATATTTTAATCAAGGATTACAATGGAACAACAATTATGTAATAGGAAATATTCTTAACACTGGTGGTATAAGACCCGGAGGCAATTATGCTCTACAAGATATTCAAGCAGCTCTTAGACGAGAATTGAATAATTTTACACCTCAAGTCTCTTGTTTTAAAAAGGTGAATCATTCCCTTTATTTCTTATAATATTTTTCAGCTGTACGAATAATGTTTAAAATTAATTTTTATTTTACCATTTTACGATTTCATTAGAAAGAACTTTCTTTTAGAATTTATATTTCACAGAATAACGACTTATTTTTATATCGCAGAATTTTTATTTAACCGAAATTTCATTAGTTCAAATTAACTTCCGTCAGAAACAATTTGACGTGCGACGAATTTTAAAATTAACCAATCGCAATAATTAGACAGAAAATGTTTATTGGTTAATTTTAAATTGTCGACAAAATGATTTTTCCCGAATGTTTATTCAAACAAATGAAAAATCTATTAAATAAAAATTCAATCAAATAGAAATTCTGTTAAATAAATTTTTGGTTATATAAGTAAAAAATTCTGCAATATAGAAAATTGTTTTATTTAAAATTTTGTCAAAAAATAATTCGAATAAATAAAAATTTTGCTAAAAGAAAATTCTATCCAATAAAATTCAATCAAATAAAACTACCAACAAATTAATTTTAGGCATTATGGGTCTCATATTTTTTCTATTTTTAAATAATTATAATAATAATAATAAATTTACTTTTCTGTTTATAGGATGGCAGACAATTTTTACATGAAGTAAGAATCTGCATGACCAGGACGTTTGCATTAGTTAATTGTGCAAATCATATAGCTGATACAAATTGCAATCGTCAATTAAATATTGAATATCCACGTTAATTTTATTGTGAAGAAGGGGTTTAAAATTTTGTTTTAACTTTTTCTGTCATTTAAAAGTACATTTAATGTTATTATTTTCACATTTTTTTTTTGTAAAAATAAACATTTGTTTCATCAAAAAGAAAATTTTGTATTTTAATATATCGCAGTGACATAATTTAATTTATCAAGAATGTCTTGACATTCGAGTTAATTTAGAATACATCATTTTTTTATTTTGACAATACTGGACAACTAATGACAGGTTTATTACGTCTTGTCGCCGTTAGATGGCAGAAGCAGGGAGCACAAAATCGCAGCTGTTATTATATTATTTTCCTACTTTACATTTTGTAATCGCATTCTTTTTTTATGAATTCGCACAATCTTTCGGATTTCGAAAATTTATAAGATAAGGATTCTTGGTACGTTGGCCGATTTTGTAAAAAGTGTCCGCGCTTCGAGAAAAAAATATTTTAAAATCAATGTCAAAACCTTTACACCACTGTCAATAAATTTTTCTTAATGAGTTAATATTTTAGGGAATTTTTATTTCTATATATGCGGCAACAATTGAACAAAATTGTTACTTGTCCCTTTTGTATAAAGTTATCACTTGTCTTTAAGTATTATAATTAATAGCAATGACTAAGTGAATTAGAATTGTCATTTGTCTTTTCAATAAAAATGTTATCACTAGGACATTCTGGTAAAGTATAAAAACTATAGTGAAAACTTGGTACTTCGAACTCCTACCGGAACCTAAAATTTTTTAACCCTTTGCGGCACACATTTTTCATTCCATTCAAAAATACAGATGATCACACATATAAGGGTTTTTGGGGTCGCTGATTACGAATCTGAAGTCAGTTTTTAAAAATTCAAAATGGCGGATCCAATATGGCGGACGACTTTTTGAAGATCTAATGCAATTCGCTTGAAACTTGTTACTCGGGGTTTTTCGAGATGATTTGGTAGCCTTGAAAAAGGCTGATTGTTATAGTTGCTGATTACAAATATCAAGTTTGTTTTACAAATCCAGGACGCTCGCTTTTGGTCAGCTTTTGTACTACAATTAGCACATATTGGATCCACATTATGAATTTTGAAAAACTAACATTGGATTCGTAATCAGCGACCCGAAAACCCCCGAGTAACAAATTTTAAGCAAATTTCGTGGATTTTTAAAATTTTCGGTCGCCATATTGGATCCGTTATTTTAAATTTTCAAAAACTGACTTCAGATTCGTAATCAGCGACCCCAAAAACCCCCGAGTAACAATTTTCAAGAGAATTGCATTAAGTTTTAAAAAAGTCGGCCGCCATATTGGATCCACCATTTTGAATTTTTAAAAACTGACTTCAGAATCGTAATCAGCGACACCAAAAACCCCCGATTAACGAGTTTCAAGCGAATCCAAACAAGTTTCAAAAAATTGTCCGTCATATTGGATCCGCCATTTTGAATTTTTAAAAACAGACTTCAGATTCGTAATCAGCGACCTCAAAAACCCCCGAGTACAAAATATCGGTTCCCTTTTTACCGAAATTTTTGGTAATGAATTTTTTTTCCAAAATAATGAGTTTTTTGACAAATTATTTATTTATAATTGTTTATAATTTTGCGTAAATATTGTTACTTTTATTTTCGTTTCATTCAATAATATGTTCTCATTCACTTTAAAAAAAATTAATAAATATTGCTTAAAAAACTTAAAATACAGTAAGAAAAGTTGTAAATAAAATAGGTGGTAATCTGGGTAACCACTGGTTCCGCAAAGGGTTAAAAAAAGTGAAATAAAATTCTGAGTAATTTGATAATAAAATGAACCATGTAGCTCAAAAATTGACCGAGATATAGCTTCCGCAAAAAAACCCACTTTTTTGTGATTTTAGCCAAAATCTGGTATTTTTAATTTTTTCAATATAGCTTTGAAATTAATGATTTTTTGAAAAAAATTACTAACAGGAAAGTTAAAGTTGACTAAATTCCTAAAAACTTTTAAAAAAAGAACAATATAATTGCTCTAATAGTTTTCGAGATATAGTCTATCAAAGTTGACCTTTTTTTGAGATTTTATATATAGAATCTGATTTATTAGTATTGTATGTAAAATCTCAAAAGGATCAACTTTGAGAGACTATTTCGAAAACTATTAGAGCTATATTACATTGTTCTTTTTTGAAAATTGTCAGGAATCAAGTCAGCTTTAACTTTCCTGTTGGTAATTTTTTTCAAATAATCATTAATTTCAAAGATATATTGGAAAAATTGAAAATTACCGGATTACTATTATACTTTGCCAGTTAAAAAGTCGATTGGTAGACAGTTTTCCCAATCCGCGTTTCCTAGTGACTGTTTTTCCCAATGAACATTTTTCCCAAAAACAAGTCGTTTTTCCCAATAAGAAATTTTCTTACCAAAGCTAATGATGAAATAAAATACATCCATAAGAAAACGAATCACAAAATAATTAATTATTGTGATTAAAAACATGCAAATAAAAAAGTGTAGATGTTATGTAGTTAGTATTGATAAATTTTGAAAATAATGTCTTAATTGATTTAAATTAAAGTTTTATGTCAGAAGAAGTTAATTTGAAAACTAAAAAAGTGCGAATGTGTGAAAACCCCGATTTAGACCAAGCTCTTTTAAAGTGGTTCAAAACGTAAAATATGCGTTTGTGCATATTCGTTGTACTGTTCCACAATGTTTAAAATTTTCCCTTCTTCGCTTATCTAATCCTTTTCTTATTCGTAGTTATTGTCCAATTTGTAGTTGACGCAGCATTATTTCCGTGTCTGCCTGTTCTTTTCGTAATTTATCGAAAAAAAACATACAGACTTGGGTGATGCTTGCCAACTACTAATTGGAAGCGATTGTGCCACCTCTCTGATAAATTATTTGTTCGAGCCGTTCCTTCCAAAACAGATTTTTGTACTGATTTCATAATCGAGGTGAATAGGTTGATGAACAGTATTGGAAGTGCAAACGAACTACAGATGACGCTCCTTGTCCTCGTGTTGCTGTTACTCAGGGAATGTAGTTAGCTTCAAAATAATCTGTGACAGGATTTAATTCTTCTGGCAGATCATCTCGAATTTCCAAAAAATGCTGTAGTATCGCTTGGGACGAATGCTAAAGCGCAAAGGGCATGAATGCATCTTTTAAACCGTCGTTCTTCACCGTTTTATAATTCTTGAAGCCCCTCTGCTTGAATGCGCCGATAGACACTTTGACACAAATGGAAGAAACAGCATTTTACTCTAGATCACTAGATGTTGTTGCTCGAGCGTAACATTCGTCCTTCTTTTTGCAGTTCCAATATATTCGATCGAGTTTATAATTTGTTGAATGTTTGTAGTACAAAAATCCCGAAATACTAAGTCTGACACTTCTATTGGTAGTGATTATTTGTAAATTTGCTTCAGCCATAATGTAAAATTGAATTTTTTTCACTTGAAATTTTGATAGAAATTTAATCCAACGGTTATGAATAACAAATGACTTTTTTCATTATATACAATAATGAAGTTAGTCTTGGAAACGACTGCAATTGTTCATTGTAATAAAAAATTTAAAAATTATTTTCATTGGGAAAAACGGAATGGGAAAACTGTCCCCCTACCAAAAAGTCCTTGTTGTAATAATATAGTTTCGCTTACCATAGAAGGTTTTGTCACTGTGCAAAGTGACAACTTTCTGTGACAGACGTAAAGAAAACTCATTAGAAACAATATTGTTTTTCTGGCAGAGAACAAATGACAAGTGATAACTTTGTACATAAACAAGTGACAAAAAATATGTATGCGATAGTCACTCTTTTATTGGACAAATAACCTTTGAGATATCACCAAAATTTTAATCCAAAAGTACTAAACAAAAATGATTTTTCTTTTTTCTTTGTGTCCAAAATTATAAAAATATCATTATTGGTTTATTGATTTTTTTGTTTTGTAAATTTTCCCCCTTATTTTGCAATACAAGGAAAATATCAGCGTAATTCATGGATTATAAGGAAATAAAACAAATTTTTCGAACATATTAAACGAAAAATAATAATTTTATTTTTTTTTTAATATTTTAATCAAATCTTAACAAATATTGAAAAAATGATAATAATAAGAAATAATGGTATTTAAACTGTGAAAACTTTACTGTTCTCTATCATTTCTGATATTGTAATAGTAGTGAAAATTTTCATTTACAACAATATCTTATTTTAAGTTACGTAAAAAGTTAAATTTTTTTTTTGTTCGAAAATGAACATTATTTGTAAATTTTGTGCTTTTCTAGCACTGTTCGCCCAACTTTCACTAGCGTAAGTTTTTACTTATAAGGAATTTCCCTATCTAACTTTAACATAAATTTATGGATTTTAATTAGTAAATAGCATTTTTTAAAGAGTTTTTCATATACTTTTTAATGCAAAAGATATTGTTTTCTGGTTCCATTGCTCCTCTTTAAAAATTGTTTTCTCAATTTTATTGAGAAACTGAGATTTATTCCAACAAATAAATAAAAATAATGGAACAATGAATTTAAGAGAAAATGTGAAAAACAGGACGAAAAAATTACTTTTTTTTCTATTTTTTGACATTTAAAACTACATGAAAAATGCTACAAAAACTTCTATTATATTTATAAATTACAATCCATAAAATTTTGTCATAGTTTTACAGATTCGAAAGTAACAGTGTTATTTTTAAACCAGTTTCTTTGCTTCGATTTTTATGTAAACTTTCAAAAAAAAATTTTATTACTATTGATTTCGTTATTATTGTTTTTCTATTACAAGAACAAACTAATATTTATAGAGAAAGGAGAAAAAAATTGTTATGTCCGTAATATGAAAACAATAACTACAACATTGGCAACATTTTTTTTAGAGCCCTTAGAGACTTTGATATACTGGTATTTGTTCAACAATTTCCAAAAACAACTTGCATTAATTCTCGAGTACCACCAGCTCGCTGCAATATACCGCGAAATGATGAGTGGACAATTCATGGAATTTGGCCAACTAAATCTGGAACAAATGGTCCAAACAGTTGCAGGCGCGATTTACCATTCAGACCTGCAGAATTGAGAACCATAAGACGTCAACTTGAAGCTAAATGGATAGATGTCATTAGGACAAATCCAGAAACATTCTGGCGTCACGAATGGGAAAGACATGGAACATGTGGTGTTGATCTTGCTGATCTTAATACACAATTAAAATATTTCAGTAAAGCTCTCGATTGGAGTAATAGATATAATATTGACCGTTATTTAAGAGTAGGACGAATTACAACTGGTCGAGCTTATCCCTCAGCGGATATTGTGAGAGCAATTAATACAGGAGTTGGACAACAGACAAGAATCACATGCGTTACACAGGTTCACAAATTTAAAACTTTTTCTTGACAACAATCGATTTTTTTTTCAACAAATAAGTGTTTTTTTCAGTAAGAAAAACATATTTTGAATCTTTTTCCTTAGTGCAAATTTGCTGAATCTGAAAATTATGCTTTTTCGAGGTGTGACTTCACTTAAAGTGACTTGTAGGAAAATCTCCTTGTCCAAATATAATGAATAATACACCAATGAAAAGGTAATTAAATTACCTTTCAAACAGACTTATAGTTGATCAAATATAGGTGAGTTTAAGTGAAGTCATATACCTCGAAAATGCATAATTTTCAGATTCAACAAATCTGCACGAAGGAAAAAAATCCAAAATATGTTTTTCTTACTCAAAAAACACCTATTTATCGAAAAAAAAATGTTTCGTTCGATTGTCAATTTCAATGTAAACCGGCGTTACAGGCAGGATAATGATAAACTGTATTTTTGGACGTATGGAATTTCCTACATTAGAACGTGTTGGAATTTTTGTGATGTCGAATTAGAAATTATCCAATTTTTATTTAGCAGAATTTTATAAAGTGGATTTTATAATGAGCCCAACTTTCATATCGAACAAATTCTATTTAAATAAGTTCTGATTTAATAAAGTTACTATATGGCTGAACTTCTATACACTGAAAGACTTTGTGTTTCAAATATTACATGAAATATTTCAATGATAAATTCAGAAAAAAATAAACATATAACCTAAATACACAGTGAATCAAGAATCACGATTCAGTTAAATAGAAATTCTTCGATATGAAAATTAGGCTCATGATAAAATCAACTTTATAAAATTTTGCTAAATAAAAATTGCTACTCTCTAAATATGAATCAGTGAAAAAGTCACTGGTCTCAAATCAGTCGCTAAATTCTAGCTATTTGAATCAGTGGTTTTCACTGACAGTCAGTGACATTTCAATGGAGAATCAATTACTTTGACAGAAAATCAGTGAAATGTTACTGATTCAAATAGCTAGAATTTAGCGACTGATTTGAGACCAGTGACTTTTTTACTGATTCAAATTTAGAGAGTACATAATTATAAATTATGTTTTGAGAAAATTTTGTTAAATATTTTTTAAAATATTTTTAAAATCTCACTAAAAATTTACAAAATATTTAATTTATTACAGGCTAACAAACAATATTTGCATGAGGTGAGAATTTGCTTCGATAAGAGTTTGAGATTAATTAGTTGCCAAGGACACTTTAATTCACCAACAAATTGCGTTCCTTGGAGGCAAGTTGAATACCCAAGACGTTAATTAATTTCCAAATCAAAAGGTCATTCATTTTCGTTTATATTAAAAAAAAAATTAGTAACAAATAAAAGAAAAAAAATTTCTGAAATTTTTTTTTTCTTTTTTCAATGTTAATAAAAAATAAAATTATAATCATAATTTTTAAAATATTCTGTCATACATATATGTATACAACGAAAACAAAAAACAAAAATTTGAAATAAATTGACCTGAGAAAATATAAAAATTTGTTCATATTCTTTTTAAGGACTTATAGTTAAATTACTCACCCTATCTTTTATACGCGTGTTTATAGGTATTTGACTTTCTTGAAACATGGAACTTTTTGTTAAAAGTAAAATAATTTTAATTTAATTTTTCAATTTCTTAAATAAAAATCAAATTCTACTTATATCAAATTTTTAGAAAAATTTTTGATATTGAGAAATTTTGCTTGATATGAAAAATTTTTAAAGATTGAAAAATATTAACAATTAAGTAAAAAAGGCAGTATTAAAATGAAAACATGTACGCCTAAAATAAATAGCAATTTACAAAATTTTAAATATTCAAATTGTTGTAGTCATTAAATGAAACACTCAGGATCTTCATTAAGATGATTAATTTATTTAAAAAAAGTTTAATATTTAAAATTACAAATAAGAACAACCAAAGGCACCAACGCAGCTAGCTGCCATCTTTTTCATTCCTCACTCTCTCTACTTCTCTCCCCACTCCTCACATCCAACTTCAGCTTCCTCTATTCTTATCTATATAAATTAATACTTTGCCCGCCTTTATTTTAAATGATAACATTCGGCCATCCTTAATTTGTTTGGACCCTCAAACAATAATCAGTAATTAACTTTTTCAGTGAGCAACATAATCACCATATCGTTGTGGTTTTACACTTTGCCTTTTTGGCCTTAAATTGACAGATTCGTTTACATTTTTCGTATTTACAGTTCGACGTTTTACATTCTCGCATTTTTCGATATCATTCATATTTACATTTCTCTTTTCAATCATATTATCATCACTTTCAATCTCATCATGAATTTCCTGATCACTTTCTAAATCTGAATTCAACTCAAAGTCATCGAATTTTTGATATCCCGTCCATAATTTTAGTTGACTCACGTGCGCGGTAGTTTCGTACCCTCTATCTCCGGTTTTATTTAATTTCTTTACTCGATAAACATCACTCGGTAAAATCTCGAATATTACTAACGGACCAGTATATCTAGGTTGCAACTTTGTTGATTGACCGGTTGAAATCGGATTTCGTTTCATGTAAACTATATTTCCAATATCATACTTTACATTCGCGTTTTTGTTTTCATCGTATTTTAACTTATATTTCTTTTGTTCATTAGCCAAATGTTCTCTAACTTCAGATTGAACAATTTCGGGTAATTGATAATCAAAATTTTTATCAGCTATTTCGCGCAATCCATCAATTTCGTGTCGCGGTTTAAACCCATATAAAGTTTCAAAAGGACTTTTTCCGGTCGATCGACTTACACTTGAATTCAAATCATTTTGAATCTTACTTAATTTACGATCCCAATTATTTTGTTTATTATCATCTAACGCTATTTGCATAATCGGTAAAACGGTTTGATTCAATCGCTCAATTAAGCCATTTGCTTTCGGGTGACGACTCGAATTTAGTGTATGTTTAATTTGATAATCATCACATAATTTTTGGAAATTTTGACTCGTAAAACACGTTCCTCGATCTGTGATAAATCTTTTCGGAGCTGTAAATTGCAAAATATATTTTTCACACGATTTTACAGTTTCTGTGGCGCTTACATTTTTAACCGGTATTAACACAGCGTATTTTGTCAAATTATCAATCAAACCAAGTACATATTGATTTTTCAAACCAGTCATGGGGAATGGTCCCAAATGATCAATATGAACTACATCAAACGGTTGTCGACCTATCGGGATCGGATGTAATTCTCCCTCCACTTTCCCTGCTTTTCGCTTTGCCAAAATACAAGGCAAACAACTTCTAATGTGGAATTTTACATAAGCTTTCAATTTCGGAAAATAATAACTCTCAAGGATACTCTTACAAGTTTTATCAACGCCAAAGTGGCTTTTCAAATCGTGAAACCTGATAACAATCGATTTTCTCATTGACGGCGGAACAACAAACAATTTTCGATTTTTTTTGTCAACCATTACTGATTTAAATAACAAACCGTCTTCAAGACAATAATCTTTTACTTTTTCTTTTTCGTCTTTAGATCGTTCGATTTCTTTCCTTAATAATATTTCGATTATAAGCTTACTTTTCGGATCAGATCGTTGAAACATTAACAATTCGTTATCGCGTCTGTTTACAAACATAATTTCGGCATTTTGACAATGGTCAGGTGAATTTTCAGAATTTTCGACAGGTGCTCTTGATAAGGCATCTACATGCAACATTTTACTACCACTTCTGTGTTTAATCTCAAAATCGTATTCTGAAATTTCACTTACCCATCGGGCAATTTGAGTATTTTGAGTCTTCCATATATTTAAATAAACAAGACATTGGCAATCTGTGATAATTGTAAAATGAATTCCAATTAAAAAAGGTCGCAATCTTTCGAGAGCCCACTTAATCGCCAACAATTCCAACTTACTGGAATGGTATTTCGATTCTGACTCGGTTGTTTTCTTACTAATTGCGTACACTAATTGCAATTTTTCGTTTTCAGTGTCAGATTGAAAAATCATAGCACCAAGACCCACAGATGACGCATCAGTGTGTAATTCAGTTACTTCCGCGAGTGAATTATACATTTTTAAAACCGGTTTCGACGTTAATTTTTCTTTAATGTCTTTAAATGATTTTTCTTGCTCGGATTTCCATTCAAAAGGACGATCGTTTTTCAACAAATCCGTGATTGGTGCGATAATCTTTGCAAAATCGGGAATAAATCTACGAAAGAAACTTGACAAACCCACAAATCTTCGAACTTCGTGAACAGTCATTGGTCTCGGAAACTGTTCAATCGCAAGAATCTTTCTTTCGCCTGGTTTAATTTGACCTTCGCCAATTACAAAGCCCAAGTACTCCACTTTTCTCATTCCAAATTGACACTTCTTCAAATTTAATGTTAAATTTGCATCCCTCAATAAACCCAAAACAATCTTTAAATTACTCATTAATTTTTCCCAAGTTTTAGCATAAACACACGTGTCATCAAAGAAAGTAAAAGCAATTTTATTTCGTCTTGCCTCTCCCAAAACTTTTTCCATTAATTTAGCAAAATATCGTGGAGCATTTGCAAGACCGAACATTGCCCTCTCAAAGTGTCCCGTTTGTGATTCAGTTATAAAAGCTGTTTTTATTTTTGCATTTTCTGTCAGTGGCATTTGCAAATAGCCACTCAATAAATCTAAAAGTATAAAAAATTCGACTTCACCCAGCTCTTCTAAGAGCTCATCAAATTTTGGAATGGGAAAATTAACCAGCTTTGTAATTTTATTTAGTCGTCTATAATCTATTACCATTCTTAGATCCCCGTTTTTTTTTTTGATTAAAAATGCCGGACTTGCGAAATCAGAATTTGTTTCCGAAACCAAACCTGCTTTCTTATATTCCCTGACAATTTTATCTAGCGCTTCACGATCGTGTCTATTCATTTTCTACGGTTTCGACTGAACTGGTACCGCATTTTCTTTTAATTCAATGTCCATTTCAATTTTATTTGTACAACCAAGTTCACTTTCATTCAAAGCTATACAATCTCTAAAATCATTCAAAATTGTTACAACTTCTTCTTTTTGTTTATTCGTTAAAGATTCATCGAGGTTTACATTATCGCGAGTAATTTTACTTTTCGGTTTTGCCGTCGGAATTTCGTCGTCCTCATATACCACCATAATATCATTAAAAATATCCCCTTTATTAATCATTTGCGGTTTATTTCCCATGTTAATTACAGGCCATTCTAATTTAGTCTCATTAATCACGACATTGATAAAATTTACCGTTCCGGGTTGTACTTCACAATTTTCTAACGACTCGATTTTAGCATTGCTTTTTTTCTCGTGATTAAAAATTTCTAACTCGACATTTTCGAATTTCAACTCTGAACCAATTCGCGTGTAACTTATATTTTCATTTTCAGTAAAGCTACGTCCCAAAATAATGTCATATTTCTGCGAAAAATCAGGAACAACTTTTAAATTTAATTTTAACGGCTTCAAATTTTCGAATTTTATGACAGCGTCAATTTTTCCGGGTGACTCGATTATACTTTCCTCAAATCCACTTAATTTCATTTTAACTGGATGCATTTCAAAACCCTCAATTAAAACTGTCGTCGATTTTATTGTTGAAACCGACGCTCCCATGTCAATTAATGCTATTAATTTCTTTTCATTAACTTTAACCTCTCGAATAAATTTATCGCCCGAATTATTTTTATTCACTTGACTCGTATTTTTAACTAAATTTACCTCTTCAATTTTAGGACTTTTATTTTCACTTTTATTCGATTTTTGATTGCAACGATTTGCGATATGTCCGGGACGTTTACAAATATAACATATAATTTCTCGTTTTTCGTTTGTACAATTTCGCGCTAAATGACCAAATTGATTACATTTAAAACACTTACGTTCGTCCTGCGAAGTTGTTGAATTGCTTTGATTAATCGATCTCTTACCATCTGTCGATGAATTGTTATCATCTCTGCTTGAAGTTGACTGTTGTCTCCATCTGCTACTACCTGATTGAGAATTTTGTCGTTTAGATTCAGCAATCCTTTCTCGTCTCGCATTATCCATCCTCTCGACCATCACCAAATCTTGCAGCATTGCATCAGTTGACTGATAATCACGTGCCATCACGTAATTCGCCATGTCCTTACTCCACAAGCCTCTAGCCACTTCATTTCGAATTTCAATTACGGTTAGACGAAGTACCTCACACAAATAAACCTTTTCCAAAAAATAATCCAGAATTGATTCTTTTGGTCCTTGAACTCGTCGTTCCATTTCTTTTAACTTTT